TCCCAGTGTAACTATAATATGCTAATAAATAAAAAAGAATAAAATGTTTTATTCACACGTTAGAATGGGGAAAATGAAGGTGGTTTCTCTTATTTCTTGTGGCAGTGTGCGGGTGACTGAGCCACCAAACTTAATGACCACTGTGAATGCTAGAGACAGTTGAAATGAGCAAGCTTGGCTATGCTTGGGTCTATTATAGTGGCAATCTGTGGAAGGGTCAAACACTCCAGATCATACCACATAATCTATCATGCTTTTATGCCAATTACCTCCCTAAAGAAAAGAAATGGGAAGCAAAGAGACTTCAACACTCAGTTTATCCCCAAAGATCTACAGGCTCATTTGATCAATGGATAGATAACTCCAAATAACCTTCAAATTTTATTCAAACTCATCCATTTTAGCAGCAGAACCAATTAGATAGTTTATCAAAATAACTTTGTCACAATTTTGCCTCAGTTTTTAAAAACTGCAAACACATTAAAAACTGTTACAAGTGTCATGAGATGTGAACATTGTGTTATGAAATTATAAAGAAGTAAAAATGTTTAGCAAAAACTATGAAATATCTTAATTCAATTTTGACATATAAAAATATAGTTTTATAAACACTGAACAGTTAAGGCCACAACACTTCAAGGAGAGTGTGAGACACACATATTTTGAAATTGCTTGTTTAAAATATTAGCATAAATAAGTATCAAAATTGGTCATACTGTTCAAACCAAACCAAACATATTAACGTATATCTTTAAAAGTTTTATCAGAAATTTTCCTTCAGAAGTCATAACATTTTTCAAGTATAAATTATGAATGTGCTTGGTGACCATGAAAACATAAACATAGATTTATAGTATTGTACAGGATTTTGACTTTCCTTTCTCTGCCTTTGGTGGTATAGTTTCCTGAAGGTTTTGCCCCATTGGGCTCTGGCTGGCATCTTTCTCATTGCTTTGTATAGCTATTTGATCACCTATTGGTCTTATCACTGAGAGTGGTTCATTACGATTCTGAGTCATCTTCTGACCCTGAAATGACATCCGTTTAAAGAGGAATATCTAGAAAAAAACACACACACAAAGAAAAATAGTTCATTTCAGTAAGTGAACCATTCACTTATGATGTAGGCATATCATTTTGAACAGGTATGAACATGATTTAAGCACATCTTTATGGAGCACCACATGTCCAATAGTACATTCTTAGCATTCATCAATCTTTTTCCTTTCCAAAATGCAATCATGAGTTCACACTAAACAAGATCTTTCAGGATCTAACTTTCAACACCATCAACATCTTGGTAATATCATTTTTTTTTGTCAAAGAATAAATTTAGTATTTTACTTTGCTGTGTTATAAGAGGAAAAAGAGATGAAAACTAGGATACCACTTTTTTGTTAACATTTAAATGTAACCAGTATGGGTTATTTTGGGAGCATGTCTGCCATCCCCAGTGTGTCATGGTTACAGAGAATTTCTAATGTGATATTTTGGAGAAGGATGACGTGGGTGAGAACCTCTGGCAAAATGTTAGTGCTATCAAAAGATGGCTGTGTGAGCCCTGTGGGTCTGAGTAGGCAGTGGGATATATGGAGCTGCTGCTCAGGGGAGGTCAGGGCTGCAGATATGCAGATAAGAGGTGAAAAGATGAAAGTAACCCAGGGATTTCTGGCAAGCAGAAAAGACACTACAAGAAGAGAGACTAAGGACGAGCAAAGTGTGAGAGGCAGGGAGAAGGGGGAGAAGCCAGCACTGAGGACTGAAGTTTGTAGCAGGTTTGGGAAAAGGAAGTCAGGGGAGGAAAATATAGTAAGAAGGGAGTGGCCAACAGGGCCACATGCAGGAGATAACGACAAAAGTTTCATCTGACTTAGGACCTTTAAGAATTTAGCCAGAGAAAAAATATGATTCCTAACAGGTTACAATACAAATAATGGTCTGACAAGATGCCAAAACCAAAAAACAGGAAACAAAGACTAGATGAAGACTAGGTTCTTTAAGAAACCAAAACGGTGCTAATAATAATAGCTCACTTCTAGCCTTAAAATAGAGGAACTAGAGTGAAAAGTTGTAACCCTGAAAAGGTCTAAAAAAGAGTTTATAGATTAAAATGGAGGCACTCCTGTTCTTTCTATACTGAAGGAATATACGTGCTAAAAAATTCTGCCACTACACAATAAGAAGAAACTATAAATAGGAATAAAAATGTAATTTTATACTGTGCAGGTAAACGCACAAAAAAAATTAAGGGAAATCCCTGGCAGCCAAAATATGATAAAGGAGCAAAAAGTCTCAGAGGTGAGCAGTGAAATGCCATTGGTTGGCCTCTTAATTTAGACCCTTGGGTTTTAATAGATTTCATCTCACAAAATGTGGGAAACTGGAACTGAGACCCCTACATAATGTGGGAATCCTCTGAGGGCTATGTACTTAATTTAAGTTCACATACAAACATTGGAAATGTGATATACCTCTCTTGGGTTGGACTTTTGTTTTTTGGCATTACTGGAATTTGAACTCAGGGCCTCTGCTACTTGAGCCATGCCCCAACCCTTTTGGCTTTAGTTACTTTTTAGAAAAAGGTCTTGCATTTTTTGTTGGTCTTGCCTCAGATTGCTATCCTTGTACCTATGCCTACCATACAGCTTGGATGACAGATGTATACCGCCACGCCTGGCTTGTTGAGATGGAGTCTAACATTTTTTGCCCAGGCTGGCCTCAAACCATAATCCTCCCAATTTCCATGTCCTGAGTTGCTGGGATTACAGGAGTGAGCCACTGTGTCCATCCCTTAGCTTGGCTTGAGTGAGGAAGAAAAATGTTTTGAGGAGGTGAGTTTGAGGTTCATATTACCAGTATGTGTGGGCAACCCTTAACAGAAGCATTAACCTGAAGTAGTTCTTAAGCCATTTCAGAAGTGACAGAGTCTCTAATAAACATTATCTATGGATGGACTCACTCTAACCTAGGTCTTATAGGATTTCCACAAAAACTTCCTAGTTGAGCATAAACTCAGAATCCAAATTTCAAAACACACATGGAAATGCATCACCATTAGCAAGGGAGTCAAGGCAACATATAGATTTTTGACTACTAAGGATGGCTGACACAGAAATTAAGAAATACAGAATAGAAAAAAAGTATGTTTAATTTATTTAAAGCACAAAACAAGATACTAATTTTAAAGAAACAGATTGAAAAAGAACCAAAATAGAACTTTACTTACAAATGTGAGAATATAATCGTTAAAACTGAAACTCAGTAGGTAGGTGAAGGAGCACAGTAGTCTTGGCAAAAGAGAAACTGAAATCAATAAAAGCCTTGACATTACCCAAAATTTCACTTACACATAGAAGATAAGAAATTGATTTAAAAAGATAAGGACAACAGAATGAAGTTATATGTCAGAGTTCAAAAGGGGAGAGAGGCAATAGTTAAACACATAATGGATGGGAGTTTTTTAAAAATATGATTGAAATGAATTCTTAGATTCAAGAGTAATATAATAAACTCCAAGTTAAAGTAAAAAGTTCACACTTAGGCATCTCACAGTGAACTGAAATACATTAAAGACAACCTAAAAAAGCAGCCAGAAAGAAATATATACAAAATTATCAGCAATTATACTAAAGCAATGAGTTTTTTTTTTTTGTTGTTTTTTTTTGCTGTGCTGGGGATCAAGCCCCTGGCCTTGCACATGCTAGGCAAGCACTCTGCCACTGAGCTATACCCTCAGTCCTCTAAAGCAATAGTCTTAATAGTAACGATAGAAGCAGATACTAATAGGAAGGAAATACCTGCTGACTAGCCAAACTATCGTTCAAGAACTATGATAAAAATAGAGATGTACAGAAACTCAAAGTGTGAATTACCAACAGACATATATTACAAAACTTTCAAAGGATTTCTTTAGGAAGAATAAAGATCCCAGAAAACATATCTCAGATGTAAAAAGGAATGGTGAGTAAAGCAAGTGATATAAAAAACCAAATAATAACATGGTTTGTGTGGTTCAAAAAATTAAAACACTGCATATAACTTTTAGTAACAGGACAGAAAACTATTCTTTTTTTGCAGAGGGACAAAAACTATTCCATTATTTGGAAAAAGAAGAACACTGATTAGTTTTAGACTTTAGGTATGCATGTGAAAATGGAAAATTCATTCCACTTACTCTTTTGGGCTTTATTATGTCTTTAGTTGGTGTTGAGTCACTACTTCCTAGAACTTCTGAAGAACTGCTCTTTGCACGATCATACATATTTCCTATTAATTGAATACATTAAAATATTATTCTAACTAAGAAGAAAAAGAATTGATGTTTTCAGTGAAACTATATCAATCCTAATTTGTGGGGTAATACAAAAAGAGCTTACCACTGGAGTAATAACTACACTATATGCTTCCTAAAAACTGAGTTAAGGCTAAATGCCGAGAATGATTTGACTAATGGTTAAAATTTTTACAGAACCAGTATCCAAATATTTCCTATTACAAAGGCCATAGGAAATGCTATAGAAGATTTCTGTAAAGATATAAATTGCTTTTTATACCCAGTTATAATATTTTACACTCAAATGGACATTGTTTTGGTTTTTCAAATTAATCCACATTATGTAGTTGAATACTGATCTTTAAAGGTATACTTATGGAACATGTGCTAATCAACTACTTAAAGCTTATACCTAATTTCTCTTTGACAATATAGGCTATATGCTAAGAATAATTAGAGGTGATAAATACTCTGCTTGAGATATTGTAAACCTTACTACCCTTTCTGTAGATGTGAAATGGACAAAAGGATTTTAGCTTAGATAGCCAGTACCATGGATAGTTTTTTCCTTCATTTTTTTTTGAGGTACTGGGGATGGAACCCAGGGGCTCTACCATGCTAGACAAGCACTCTTCTACTGAGCTACATCCCTAGCCCATGGACACTTATTTCTAATGAGAACACAGTAAAAAGCCCATCATGAAGTGACAGTGTAAAAATATGTTACTACAGTCTTACAGCAAAAACATAGATGATGTGGGTCAAAAAAATATAGGTATTGAGGGCAATCCCAGTTTCCTTTATTTTGTGGCACCTGTCTCTGACCTTAACAGCTGGGCTTGGGAAAGGATTTCTCTCCAATGCCTGTGGAGACTCAGGTCTGTGTCTGGGGGAAATAAAAGGATGGCTGCTGGGATTCTAGGCTAGCCTAGTTATCTTAACTTGGGCAAAGAAGTTCTCTATATTCACCAGAGATATAAATTGAGATTGGGGTAAAAGTCCAACTTAATAGTACTGGTTGAGTAGGAAAAAAAGGTAGTTTAGGCTGTCCCAAATCCCTGAACACTGATACATGAACATCCAGGAATAATGTATTTATATGTGACAAAGCTGTGGTGGTCATAAATAATAACAGATAAGCCTGTATTACATATTTCATAACTTGTTATGAGGGTCATGTGACAATAAAAATGATAAAAAAGAATATATGTGTGTAAGCTTATAATGATCCAATCACAGGATATATATGCATATATTTATGTATGTTATATATCCAGCCTTTTAAAAAATATGCTTTTGAAGTCAAATGTGTCCACAATGTAATTTTACTCAGCCACAAAGAAGAATGAAATTTTGTCATTCGCAAGTAAATGGATGGAACTGGAGAACATCATCTTAAGCGATGTTAGCCAGGCTCAGAAGGCCAAAAATTGCATGTTCTCCCTCATATGTGGATTATAGACCCAAAACAAATCTGGACATGGGTCACACACTAAGGGGAAAACGCCCACAGGAGGAATAGGGAAAGGGAAGGAAACCTAAAACTTGAATGTGGTTGATATACTCACTGTATATAGGAGTGAATAAAGTAATCTTAAACTGGCAGAGGCCACTATGGGAAGGGGACCAGGAAGTAGTGAAGAGGCCTGGCAGAGATGAATCAATGTGGGTTGCAATACACAAGTGCATGGAAGCAATGCTAGGAATTTCTCCATATAGCAATCTTTATCTCAAACTAGCAAAAACACTATGTCTTTCTTACTATCTCCTATGTTCTCTCTTCTGTAAAATCAGAGAACAAGAGGGTGGGGCAGGTTCTGCCTGGAAGCAGGGGGTGGGGATGGGAGTGGGAGGTGGCCCAAACAATGTATACACATGTAAGTAAATGTAAAAATGATACAATAAAATTAAAAAACGTGTTCATACCTTTTGGATTTTCGTTGTATTCATGAATAGCCCGTTCCTCTAGACTGGCTTTTTCTTCCTACAAACAAGAGAGAAACAATATGACAAAAACATATTTGTGCTGTGCTAGAAATCTTAGTCTTGTTTTTTAAGCAGGGCTCCAGAGCCTATCTCTAGCTAAATGACATAAATGTGTAATGATTACTTCACTTTGCTGGGCTGTTGTAAAATAAGGGGCCTTAGATGCTAACTGATACCTAATGTTCTACTGGCTTACAACTGCATGATTTAAAAAACTATGATTCAAGAATTCTAAAAGATTTTTCAAGAATATGAGCTAGTGTATGATTTTTCTCAACATTTTACACTGTCAAATTGGTATTCAATGATTTCTATGTTCAAACACTTTTAGGGACCACCCAGACCTAAGCTTATAAATGTTTTCTAAAAGAGAAAGAAAGAAAACAGTAACTTTCAGAACATTTTTCCTCAGTGAGAGGAAGGAATCTTGGAAAAAGAGGAACCAAGGAAGAGAATGACCTCTATAGAACATTAATAATTTATAAATTAAAAGACATTCATAAAAGTGATACGTGCTTTGTAAGTACATTCAAATAAAAGGACAAATATGTTTCAGTAGTTGCCTGTGTTAGGGAAATGGGAGATAGGAATAGGGCTCAGAGGAAATGGACTTAAATAAGAGGGAAGAGCCTTGCACAGAGCAGGGATTAGAGCACTGCATCAACTAGAAGCCATGACTAACTCAATGTTCTGCATGAGAAGTCCAAAAGTGAAAATGAATTAATACAATGTCATTCAGTTTAGGTTGCAGAATTTCATACCTCTAAAATTAATCTTAACTACTGCTGGCAAACAAGTAATTTCAAACCTACCAATTATCTTCTAACAGGGGAAACTCTCAGGCAAAACTGCCAAATGGAGATTGTTTTTAGCATTCTTAACCCCATTTTCAGGATGATCTTTGCCTCCCCAGTGATACCTCCTCCTATTCTTGCTGTCCATAATTTTGTGTAGATGGCATCTGTGAAGAACTGATCACAACCTTAAATAATGCTGTGACCAATTTTCATTTGTCCATATACATTTAAATATATGTATGTATGTATGCATGCACATACACATCCAGCACCAGGACTACTTAACTTTGCATTTCAAAGACTGGTGCCCAATTTTCTGGTTCATTTCCCACTAGTGTACTATCCTGGCCCATAGTCAATTTCCACTCATGAGAGGAACAGAAAGCTACCAAGCAGTGTGGAAAATGTGCCAGAGACAATGACTGCTTGATTCATAAATTAGCCAAAGCCTTTCCCTGATACATGAATGAAGTTATTCATAGAAGTATTTCTGCTCCCATAGGAAAATGGAATCTTCAGGGACTAGGAGACACACAGGCTTTCTCTTAGGCAGAATCTCAGACACAAGCACCTATTATCACACCTCTTTAATGATTTCAGCTGAGTTGTCCTTGATAGCGTCTGACTCTTCGGTTGTACCAGGGTCACCTGCAGCAATATTTTTATCATCTTCCATAATTTTCTCCTCTTGTTCTGGATTTTTGATATCAATTTGTTTGTTCATGGCCTCTGGTTTTGCTTTCACAATTTCTGACATTTCTTGATCCTATGACAAAATTGATGAGTAAGATTTTCTTTTTTAAAAAAACAGATTTGATACTGCTGTCATAATTTATATTATCTCAAAGAACATGTAAAATATTAAATCACATGCAAAAGTTGAAATAAATACTATATAATTCATGTTGAATATCAAGTTATTGCATTACTAAGTATTTTGAGCCTGCTGCTTTATTTCAATATCTAGGATCCCCAAAATTCTATTAGTGCCTGTGGCAAGGTTAAAATGGAAAAAAATTAAATACATTTTCTTGACTATCTCTAAAGAGTGCTTTTAAACTTGAGAAGTTAAAATACTTTCTATTTATTATAGCATTATAACATAATTAAACTAGGCATTATATTCATTTTCTAAAACACAGGGATTTAGAATCCTTGCAGAAGGTACAAGTCACTGATATTTACGAGAGGTAAGTATAACTATTTACATTCCAGGAAAAAGATAAAAGGACAAAGGCAGTTTCGATGGTTTGCTCTTGGTTATTAAAAGCAGAGGGAAAATCAACCAGAGATAGAACTTGGTTTATCTGGCTTCTAACCAGCTAATCCAAATTATAAAACACCCTGTCTATGGATTTGATAGACTGATAGTAAATCATGTAATGCTTATTAAGTACAGGCAGAAAGTATTTGTTTTAGCCCTTATTCTATACTGAAGATTTTTTTCTGAAGTTAGGTTAGGTAGGGTCAATGCTGAGGTGGCTACCATTTACTAGTGACTTCTAAAAACATTTCTTTCTGCACAATTTTCCCTCTAAGTGACTCATCTATAATGCCTTCCCTGATGCACATTGTGGGTAGCTAATACTGTTAGGGACTTTATTTTGAAAGGGAACAGGAAGCACAAGACCACTAGATTGAAGACTTATGGATGATAAATAAATGTAATCATAAACATACATAAGTGAAAGGCTAACTAGAAAGAATAATGCTCCTTAGACACAGAACTTCAGGACTATGCCCCTTTGTCTCAAAGGGGAGAGTCAGTGTTCCCATCACAGTCCTCACTTGGGAGAGTTTGGATAATCTAGCACCTGAGTCAGCCCTAGTCGGGCATGCTAACTTAGTATAGATGTCATCATAATAATGTTATTATAAGAAGGAATCTGGAGTTTTATCTTATTTTAGAAATAAGCAAAACACACACTCTTATAACAAACTACTACCTTTACGAAGACAATCCATCATTTTCTAAATTGAGAAAGCTATTAGAAAATGACATTTTTCACTAAAAAAAATCACATTAATTGTAGCACCTTTAATTTGTTAAGCACATTTGAAATTACTCTATGCACATCTGGACAACTACTTTAAATCACGGAGGACTTACCTTCAAAATGAAACAATTTAGGAGAGATTGGCAGAATACTGTCATTTTATTAAAAAAAAAGGGTAAAGTTTAAGTACATTTTTGGCACCAGAACTATGCAAGATAAAGAGGTAGTTTGGAATGGTCAAGTATGTGTCTTGTGTTAGGATCACAGTAAAGAAGTGAATGGACCTGCTCTCTCATAAAAGGACCCTTGTTTCATTGATCATACACAACACAGCAGCTGCAATCTTTGGTCTGTGCTCTGTCTTTGATCTGGCCCAAGGTGACATCTTTTATATTTCTTATGAGGAATATTAAGAAAGTCAATGTTCCTTGTGAGCCTTTCAGTTTGCTTAACACACAACTGCAGGCCTGGGGGTATAGTTCAGTGGTACAGCACTTGTCTAACATGCATGAGACCCTGAGTTTGATTCCCAGCAATGCAAAAAAAAAAAAAAAAAAAAAAAAAAACCAAACCATATTGCTTGCTTTAAAAATAAAGATTTCTACTAGAAGTCAGCTTAGTGGGTAGGGGATGGGAAATGACTGGAAGGGAGTTAAAGGGGAGCTTCTGAGGAGCTGATACTATGCTTTTCCTTGATTTGGATGATGGTCAGTTTGGGATAAGTATGTTGATTGTGAAAAATTCATTGAGCTATACATGCATGAGATAAGCACTTTTCTCTGTATTATAGGTTTTTCTTAAAAATACCCTCAAACTCCACAAAACTACAAAGAATAAAATTTTATACTACAGTTCTGGATTCATGACATTCTTCAACGTCACATAGGGTACAGAATGTTTTCCAAATAATATAGTATAAAACTTTATATCTAAGTTATATCAGGAAGATTATATTTTAAACTTCAATTTCAAAGGTATTTCTTAGGAGAGGAAAAGTTAACATGTAAGTTCATGTTTTAACTACCCTAGAAATCACCAAAGCAGCAGTGAGGAGTGGGAAGGTCATTAAATACAAAGGTCTAAGCACTGTTTGCAGATGGCCTCAGCATAATACCTAATTAATGAACTTTACAGGCTATGTGGAAAATAACCTTACTCAGTTTGTATAAGGATGAAACAGATTTCTTACAGAGAAAACTTGAGTAAACATTGTATATTTGTGTGTAAGATATAAAAAGTAAGATAGAATTCCTAGTGTGTACTGAGGACTGTCAAACATCATGAACCTTGGACTTTTTTTTTGCCACAAGGTCCCAGATCTTATAAATAGAAAACATTTAAAATGCCCACCTATTTCTTTTACCCTAATCCCCATATCTGCTTACTTTGAGTCAGGAGCCTAGCAGCTAAGGTAAATGAGAAGGCTGCTTTTATTCCTATTGGAAGCAGCCACAGGACTGCAGTGAATGGGAGGGGCAGCCTCAGCCCAGCTTCTGCCAGGATTGCTCCAGTGTGCAATGCTCCCAGACTCTCAGGCTTTCCAAGAGAAGTCCAAAAAGCATTTTTAAAATATAAAATTTCCTATTTCAGTGTTAGCAGCCAACTCAAATTAAAAGAAATCACTGTATATAACAAACAAAATTAAGTCTGCAGGAGGTATGGCTCAAGTGGTAAAGCATCTGCTTTGCAAATGTGAAGCCCTGAGGTTCAAACTCCAGTCCCACCAAAAAAAAAAAATCTGCAGGCCAGATTACACATGGGCTACCAGTTGTGACATCCAAAGTTTTGAACTCAGGGCTTTGCTACTCCAGAGCCTACAGTCTTTCCCAACTCTGCTCAAATAATATGAAGATCATAAGAACTGCCCTCAGTTATTTTCCCCCTCATTGATGTTTAAAGAATTGAAGACTGTCCTTTGTTTCATAAGCTCCTACTAGTAACACCCTATTCTTTTGTACCATTGTATGTATTAGTAGCAAAGAAAAATTTAGAATGTGTTCCCCAGAGTATCTAAATTTCTGGAATATGTATCTTCCTTCCTAAACTAAGAAGTATGCCAGGAGTGTGCTATGTCTGACATTTACTTTCTCAACATTAGCTCTATTTCCCTGCAAAGTAGACTTCCTACAGCTCATTCTCAGCTGAAAATGTGGGTTCTGCCCCTGGCTCTACACCAGGCCACTTTCCAGAGGCCCTCTCTACAACTGCTTTCACCCCTTCCTCCTGAAACCCCTTCCTGGGCTTAGGTAGTATTTCTCTTTCCTAGTGAGTATCCCCTAACTTTTCTTTCTCAACCTCCCCCTTTAACTATTGATGTTTTGATGAATCCTGTCTTAAGTGCTCTTTTCATATTGGGAATGCTTCCTCTCATTCAAATCCAGTTTTAACCACATATATAAGCTGATGATACCAAGCAATCGCCCCAGAGCTCCAGACCCATACATTCATCTGCATATTGAACATCTGGAGCCACCTAAAATCAAAAAGTCCAAAACTTATCTTTCAAGCCTGTACCTAGTTCTCTATTACCAATCTTGGTGAATAGCACTCTTTCTACTCAGTTCTCTAGGCCAGAAACAAAAAAGGCTCAACTTTCCCCCTCCCCTCCCAGCTACATTATTTTACTAAACCTTCCAATTCCATTCTTAAATCTCTCTCCATGATACTTGTTGCCACATCTTCATCTCCATGGTCTTAGTCCAGGCCCTCTTCATTCTTTGCCTGGCCTACTGTAACTGCTGCCTAACTGGGATCCCAGACTTTGGTCCTGTTCCCTTCAAATCCACTGTCCATATTGTTACTGGAATAATCTTACAAAAACCCAAGTGTGGTCAACTAATTCTTTTCCCTTTTTTGGTACTTTTGGGGTTTGAACTCAGGGCCTTGCACTTGCTAGGCAGATGTTCTACCACTTGAGCCACTCCTCCAGTCCCTCCTTTAACATCTTTCACAAACACAAAAGGCCCTTTGCCTCTCTATTTAAGACCAAAGTATACTCTAGGTTGCAGTAATCCCCAAACACTCTCATGACTCCCATCAGCCTGGAATGCATTCCCCATCCCTTTCACCCCTTTGCGTGGTTAAGTTTTGCTTGATGTCACTAAGTTCATGACTCAGTTTCCTCACCTGATTCTGGCAAGTCTTTTTCTAACCTTTCAGTTGAATTTCTACTCCTAACACACTCTAATGTAATAATAAATTTCCTGCTCAGCTTATAGAGTTCCCTGAAATCAGGGGCCACATCCTATTTCATGTATATCCAAGACATGACACTCTTTTCTTCTTATTAATTAAAGACTTAATGGAAGAAAGCCGTTAATTTACTCTGGGTTATACTTTATTTTGGGGCAACTCTGGCAAGAACACAGGGATATCAGGGAAGAAAGAAATAGTTATAGGCTCAAGTGGTAGAGTGCCTTCATGGCAAGTGTGAGGCCCTGAGTTCAAACCCCAGTACGACCAAAAAATAAAAAACAAAACAAAACCAGAAATTGTTAATGCAGAACCATCTTGGCATTCTCAGGTATTCTTTTCAGAAACATATACCTAAAGTCTCTGACAGCTAAGAAGGCCACAGGAGGTAGATTGTAAACTGCCCTCACTTCTTGAGGTCCACCTGACTTGAGGAAGTTTATGTTCATATTTTGGTGTTTGATATATAAATATCTGTTGAATGACTAATATGTACCAAACATTAAGCTGTGTGTTAGGTACTGGGCATACAAAATCACACTGAATTTTCACAATGAAAAGAATGAAGGAAGCAACTACAGCACATGTATAGCAAGTTGATCTCCATTGTGAATTAAGAAAAGGTATTTCAGTTGCACTCACCTTGAGTGCTGCTGTTCAGCAGCAGCAGATGCTTTGTGGAAAGAATTGCAACTTAAAGCTTACCTTTGTAGCTTACCTTTGCTGCCAGTGTCCTCATTAGGAAACTGTAACTCTACAGATTCTAAATACACAACTCATATTTCCCTTAGTAATGATCAGTGATAAAATTTAGGAAAAGCTTGAGCAGCTAGCAGTTATTTTAATCTATGTCACCCAGTGTTAAGTCATGAAGGACAAAGTTGTCTCTTTTTTAACCTTCCTTTCTCTCCTAAGATATGAAAGAATTATAAATATGTAAATCACTTCTATTCATGGAAGTCTGTATTCTTTTATCCCTCAACATATCCCTAACCACCAATAAACTCCTCTTCATAAACTTTAGAGAGTGATAGGCCTGCCACAAAATATGTGATTAAATAAACTTAACAGTGAGGCACACGAAGTTAGCATGCTTCACTTATGGTCACTGCTTACTTCAATAAAACAACTAGTTTGCTTGAAGGTTGGGTGACTTCGGTGACTAGACTCAAGACTTTCTATTTAGGAATAGAGATACCACCAATTCTAGTCCTGCCAAAGTTCTAAAGAAAACTGGTGTTCCTACAGAATAACTTAGGTCACCCATTCTAATTCTATACATTTCCAGACAAAGAAATTGAAGCTGGCAAAGGCTAAGAAACTAGCTTAAGTTCATACAGCTCAGAGGTATAAAACTGTAAGTATGCTTGTAGCTCTCCACATGACTAGGCAAGTGCTCTTTTGAACAGAATATATACTTGTAAGAATTACTGCTTCTAAAGAATATGCAAAGTTTTTGGATGGGGAAATGAAAAGAACTAGGTAAGAAATGCTGTTTAAAAGTGGACAGTTAGATCAGTTAAAATTCTGAGATGAGCATACTTTAGAACATGATTCCAGTATTGCTGGTTGGTTATCTCTTCAGGGGAAAATGAATGCCCCTTCCTTTAATAGTTTCAGTTGAAGAGTTTCTCTTCTCCCTGAAATCTCTTAAGAACTTCCTTTATGAACTCCACATCTGTAATCCATCTTATTTAATAATTTAAAATCTACTTTTAAGGTAACCATGTTTTGCACACACACTTTACCACAGTACTAACTCTATTTTACAAATACTTAATGAATGTTGTAGAATTTGGTCAATGACTGCAATGCCAAATTGATGTATTTGGCTAGTTGGGGGAAGCTACCAGAGATCCTTGCATTGAAAATACAATTACAATTACTCCTAGGAAATTCTTCACTTTCTTTGATTATAGATTTTCTCTTCATACTCTTTTCTCCCTCAAAGAGACTCAAACGTGCAAAAAATTCAACTACACAAAATTCACAGTAAGTTTACATCAAAGTCTTCCTTGATAAAAGTTTAAGAAGCCTCTCATGTCCAAGATACAGAAGGGACTGGGAAAAGAAATCAGTTGAAAAGGGAGCTATGAATACATAACAATTAAGCAAACTAGATGCATTATACACATTAGAAATTTTAAGGAAGGACTGAAACTATTCTAATGGAATCTAGCCCCTCTAAAACTTAGTATCTAATATTAGGCAATTTCTTTTCACAAACAATACTGGCATACACATTTAATCTTTATTTTATTTAAGACATTCTGATATACAACAGACAAACTGAGAATTACAGAATAGTCAATGAAGAATACATCAAGGACACAAAACAGATACTGGGAATGAAGGTTCTGACAGTACAGTTCAAACTCAGAAATTCTAGGAGATTATAAATGCAGAGTTATAGAAGAAAAGAGACAATGAAGTCATAACTTTTTAAGAGTAAAAAATAATGACTTATAAAGAGTAAATTAATTTTAAAGTATAATTTTTCTTTCTTAAATTTTTCTTATGCAAATAACAAACTGATAAAGCAAATTAGCCTGTCAGAATGAAAAGTATTTTAAGAGTTAGAAGGGGTTATCATTATCTTACCACCCATTCCATTTTACAAATGAGGAAACTGAGGCCCATTGAGTAACTCTGCTTGGATTATAAACACTTACAGTTTTACATATTCTCAGATTATACACTTAAGCTAATCTCCATTTCATTACATATACTGTCACTGCCTAGACATAACTAAAATAGATCACACTATTAGATCTAAACCTTAAACACAGCTGTCACTTTATGGATTTTTATAAAAAGGACACAAAAGTTAAAGGGACAAAACTATTTCTTTAAAATGTGAATTCCTTATTTTATTTTCAGAATACCATTCACTCATAAAATTATTCTATATGGTAGGTAAACTGTAATCAAAGACTGAAAAACACTGTGCTAGCATATAAAAAATTGGAAGTTTTGACCATTCCAATGTTTACAACTTTTTTTGAGGCAAAGTCTCATTTTTTGGCCTGGACTGGCCTCAAACTTGTGATTCTTCTGCCTTGGCCTCCCCGGTACTAGGATTATAGATATGTACCACCATGCCTGGCTTGATCTGTGCTATTTTTAAATGGACTGATTTGTACACACAAAATAAGTACTTTTACTTCTAGTTCCTAAATCTGTCTTTAGTGAGAAATATATAATACTACTATCTGATAAGACCTTTTAACATTTTCTAGTTATAGATTTATAACTTGTGGCAAAATACAAGATTATCAACTTAAGAGGAAAGAAAATTTACCACTGCCTCCTGTTGCTGTTGACCCTTTAACACAGATAGCACAGTTGTTCTTTTTAACCACATGTAAAATAACCATAATATAAAATTAATTTAATAAAATATAACGGGTACCTATTATGTATAAGGCATTCAAATGATTTGGCTGGCCATAATCAGGTCAAATTGAAAGTCTGTCATTTCAATTCCAAATAATGTGGCAACACATCATTCCAGAATTTTTTGGAACCTGGTGGCACTTTGTCTAAAAGTTCTTTTGACTGCACTGGCATTTTGGGCCCCTGGGCTTTCCATTTTCCCTCTGGGTTAGTAACCAACTTTTGTTTGTATGTTTTATGTTTATCATATTTCATAGAGCCTTTAATTTTGCTAACTTTTTTTGACTCTTCTCCATCATCCTGACTTTTCTGCCTTTCATTTTCTTTTTTACATGTCTTCTGGTATTTCCCTACTTCTTGCCCCTCCTTTTCTCCATTCTTCCCATTTTCTTCCCCTTCACTCTCCCTCCTTTCCCTTTCTTCCCCCTCTTCCTCATCTTCTTCCTCCTTCCTCCTCTTTCTTTCTTTCTCTTCTTCCCCCTCCTCTTCCTCTAATTCTTCTCCTTCCTCCTCTCCCCACTCTCCTTCCTCCCCTTCCCCCTCTTTTTCCCACTCTTCTTCCTCTTCCCCCTCTCTCTCCTCCATTCTGCACTCTCCTTTCTCCTCTCTCTCCTTTCTCCATTCTCCTTCCTCCTCTCCCTCCCCTTCTTCCTCCTCCTCTACCTCCTCTTCTTCCCACATCTCTTCCTCCTTTCCCTCCTCTCCTTCCTTCTGTTCTCCCTCTACATCCTCCTTTCCCCCATCTCTTTCCTCCTCTTTTCTCTCTCCTTCCTCCTTTCCTCCTTCCTCTCCTTCCTCATCACTTTGCTCTTCCTCTTCTCCCTCCTCTTCCCCTTCCTCCTCTTCTTTCTCCTCTCCTTGCTCTTCTTCTTCCTCCTCCTCTCCTTGTTCTTCCCCTTCTCCTTCCTCGATTTCTTGGTTTCTTTCTTCCTGCTGACCTTCATTCCTCTCTTTGTTCTCCCCTTCCTCCTCATTGCTTTGCTCCCATTCCTCCTCCTCTTCCTTACCTAGACTCTGCATTTCTCCTTGTCCCTTATCTTTCTTCCCCCCCTCCTCCTCCTCTTCCTCCTCCTCTCCCTCCTCCCCCTCCCTTTGCCTCTGTTCCACTCCTATACTACCTTCCTCCTCACAGATTTGGTGCCCTGCACCTTCAGGCCCAACCTGTGTCTCTCCCTTGCCTTCACTCACCTCTGCTCTGTCTGTAAGGTCATCTGACAGGGTTTTTGATCTCTTCTCCTTTTTTCCTCCTGGCACCTGCACATTTTCCTTATGTGCCTCTATAACTTGCTCCTCTACTCCACTTCCTTCTGAATCCTCTACTCCTTCCTGTTCCTCTGGTATCTTTGACAAGTGGTCACGATTGAAATCGTATTTTCCCATGAATCTGGAAATTCTAGGTTCAGTGTCATTTTCTTGTTCAACAAACTTTCTGTTGAACCACAAGTTGTGCTCAGTTTCCACTTCATCATCGTCTTTCTCTTCACCACTAAATTCTACTGAATTGGGGTGCTTCAATCTGTGTTTGCTTTGCTGATTCTGGCTTTCACATTCCACATAACTTTCTGGCTCTTCTATGAATTCTGTTTCACTGTCAGAGATCACAATTCGATTCCCACTTTCCTTAACAAAACCTCTATTTTCTCCATTCTCAGAATTCATGTCTTTATCTGGCAAGTCATCAAAGAATGTATCATACTTTATACACTGTATGTTTGTTTCCCTTTTTCTTATATCACGCATACTTGCCATTTTCATCAGCTCAGTTTTCTTCTTATGAACTAATTCTTCACCACTTTCCTTTTCTATTTCCTTAGTATCAAGTTGATCAACACTTTTATTTTTGTATGTAAACATCTCCATGGGTAAACCCTCTCCTTTGGTATCAGCCTGAGGTCCCACCTGGTCTGAATCATGATCTACTTCCTCATCTGAGAATGCTTCAGTGGTCTCAGTTGCTTGAATCATGAAGGTCCCTTTTGCTACATGTTGTTTATATGCTTTCCCTTCTTTCATTTTTGACATATCTTCATATTCATATTCGTTACTATCATCACTCTCAGTACTAGCTGTATGCTGGTTCGGTTTCCCAACTGTGTCTTGTTTCTGTAAATTTTTAAAGTAATCATCATACTACTATTAGTTGAAAAAGGTAACTTATCTACTATAAATTATGCCCAAGATTTTATATTTTTGTAAGTTTCACTAGGAGAATAAAAATGTCCACATTTATCAGGCATTTTACTAAGCTTTTATTTTCTTCAGGGATAAATTATTCCATTCTCTAGGTCTACATTATATCTAATTTTGACTTAGTAATAGGAATCTGTGTTTGTGTAACTTTGAATTCTTACTACCTGCTTTATCTATGCTATTAATCACAATACCACCAATATTTATTCTCCATACTTTTTCTTAATCTGAATCAATCCTTACATGACTACTTTCCAGACTGATTTTGCAAGATGTTGTTAAAATTTTCACACTGCTCTTGTATGTAGTGCAGTCCAGTATAATTTTTCTACCTTTTCTTATCATTTTTCATTTTCAAATTTTGATTTGAAAATCAATGAAATTCACAAAATTAAGGAAAATTAAAATGATAAAATTGAAAAATGAATAGCTTATTTCTAGAAGAAAAAACTGAAATGAAAACTGCACCTGAAATATTTTAAATCTATATTCTAAATAGAAACAAATGCATTTTCCTTTTCAAAACAAACTATATAGGCTTTCAAAGTTTTGACCCTCTTCCTTTTATCTATTATATTCTTTACAATAGTTTGAATGAATGAAAAAATCACTAAGAAGAAAAAATACTTAGGGTAAGATGTAAGATTTATATAAAAACTATTAAATCAAACATTGAGATTTGAATATTATATTAATAATATGAAAATAATTTCATGCTGAACAAAATAAGGCAAAACCAAGTTGTTGACCTATCCTATAAGCTAATAGATTCAAATAGTTGATGAATCTGGGTCTTTCAATATTAAAGCCTCATTAAATCAAATTTTATAAATTGTGAAGTGGTAGGCCTAGGAAGAGGCTCAATTTTTTTATAAAGAAATTATTAAAACAGGACAAGTTACAAAGTAACAACTAATATATAGAAATAGTACAACCAATCTTTTTTACTCACTAAAGTAGGCCTGGTAGAGCCTAAACTTCAAAGGACTGTGTGAAGTATGAGATACATATCAACTCAAAAAGAAGTTTTCCTTTTTCATTTGTTCTAGGCCTATTCTTTAAAATTTCCTAAAACTTGAAAGTTCTTTCCAGAGCCCTAAAACAGGCAGGCCCAACTGTCAGAAGAACTATTTCCAAATGTATGTGCATTTTTTCCCTAGCACATAATAAAGCATCCAGGAAGAGGCCAAACCCAGAATCTAAGAGAAAAGGAAGAAAAGACACAGAAGAATGGCTGCTTAAAGTATAGTCAGACATTAAAGCAGTCAACAGTCATGGAGCTTACAAGACTATGTGAGGAAAATAATTCTCCCATATTAAAAAACACGCTGTTATTCACCATGCCGTTCACTAATACAGATAAGATTCAGGGGGACTGGCTCTAAACTTTTATAATTTAGCAAGAGTCGCCTGCATTTCAGTAGCTTCAGTTTTAAGGATTTTTAACTTAACAATATACAGCAAAGGCATTAGAAACAGAAAGTTAATGTTTTCTATCAACTTCTTCCCTCAATTTACATTTTTCTGCTTAATTTTCTTAACCTGCAAACTCCTCATCCTTTTATTCCTCTTGCTCTTAAAATCAGGAAAAGTAAAGAATTTCAGAGTAAGATTTCTTTCTCTAGGGTTGTAGAAACCACAGACTATTCTTTTCTCTTGCTATTCCTTTTTCATTAAAAGTCTCTGTTTCTCACACAGTAACAGTCTATGGGGTTATTTTACTTAAGTTTTTATGCTATCCTTCCTTAATAAATCAAGTCCAATCTAAAAATAGGAAAAATGACAATTAGCTATTTTTCACTAAAATTGCAAAATTTTAGAGCTAGAAAAGATGCAATATCATCAAATAAAGTCAGCATAATAACTCATTCAAAGTCATACTCAGAGGCACTCTGATAAACAGTCACCTCTTCCTATAAATTATAATCTATCGTTTGACAGAAAAGTATAACAGATCCTAACTTAAGTTGAGAAACCCCAAAGAGCAAAATTTCAGCACTGAAACTCTATCACTCTTGTTGCATCACAGAAGATACATACCAACAGAACAAGCCAAATGAAGGTCATCTACATTGTACTTCTGCCTTTTAAATTCTAAAATCAGTTAATGCTTACCTTTCTTGTTCTTTCCAGAAACCTTTCAAAGAAAAATCATTAAAACTGTTCTCATCCACCATAACAATAATTAATAACCTCCATATTATACCTTTTGTTTTTGAATTGGCGAAAATTTTAATGACTTCTCGTTGGAACTCAGGCTCATCACATGTGTCTGAAATAAAAATATATGTTCTAAAAAGAATGAAAGACTATATATGTTTGTATATATATATATTCATCCTATATATATATAAATATATAATTAACGAACAGTTCTAATAGTTAATATAATCTATTCTCAGTTGTGATACTAATGATGTGAAGGTAGAAACAAATTTTATTATATGTGAATTATATCTCAATAATCTTGGTTAAAAACTAACAGACTTGATATTCAAGATAGTGGATTAGAGGACCTGAGCTCTTGCCTGCTTCTCCATGAGTCAGAATCAAAATAACAGGACTCTGACTGTTTGTTGAGGTGGGTGACTATGGGAGAATGCTGGAATGCAATAGTAGATGGAGACCTAGAGAAGTTCAGTTTTGGGGTAGTGTAAGAGTGGGAGAAACAGAGCACCCAGCACTGATCACAAGGTAGCTTGGCAGGTGGAGAGGGGTACAGCCTAGGCAGTGGAATCAGTGAAAGAGAGAAAGCCCCAGTAAGCTCCACCACCACAGGATTTGGACCTAAGATATTTGGAAATATCTGGTTTCTAAGCTAAGCCCTTGTGGGTCTACATTTTATCTTCCTCTGATCTATGGTGCCAATTTCTACTTATTTATCAGTTTTCCAGCAGTCAAAATTATACTATTTGGCCAGGGAAGACATATAGTTTAGACAAGTAAAAGATCTGTAATGTGCATAGTAAGTTGATTCTGGAGAACTTCTCCACACTTCTCAGTGTATTTTCACTCTGCTGTAACTGGGAACGATCTTGAGAAGGGTCTTACTGTCTGAGCTTACTGCTCTGTAAGTCAAAAACCCCTACATTTTCCTATCTCCAGACAGCAGGGCAATATAACTGCACTGGCTCAGCAGGCAGGCAGCTACCTGGAGAATCAATTTGGCCAAGGGGAAAGATTGTAACACAATATTGCTGAGAATTCTATGCAGCTGGGAGTGCAATGTGGAGGAGAAAGAAAGGTGCTTCCCTTCAAAATCAGGGGTTTGGGAATCCAGCTGTAAGAACTTGAGGAGAGCTAACAGTTGCATATCATTTCATGTGGGAGCCAAGTCTGGGAACACCAGAATTGTGGGCAGTGCATGGCCCTGTTGCCCCACTCCCAGCACAGTTCTTTTGTGACTCCACTACCACTCTGTCCCTATGGGCATTTGGGAATATGCCACAGAACCAGTGTCCCATTCTCAGGGCATGCAGTCCAAAAAGCTCTGAGGAGAATCTTTAGCTGAGAGTTCTGTTCTCCCCAGTAGCCCATATCCAATGAACAAAGCAGCTAAGAGGAATTCCAACTATCTTCAGCTACAAATCACCCACACTAGTCACCAGGCTAGCATCATATAGGGAAAAAGAAGGGGGTGAACAACACTTGACTTTTGCTCTGTCCACAGGCATCCAGCCTAAGACGACTCAGAAAGCTCTGATCAGCATAGACAGCATCCACTCTCACACCTTCATTATTCCAGTACCTCAGTGAGGAGGAAATTTCTATTTTCTATTAATATAATTTTGTTGCTGTTGCTAGTTTTTTCTTTTGCTAATTTTTATTTTAAAATCTTTCCTTTTTACTTTCCTTTCCCCCTTTTCACCTGCTTACCAGTTTTCTAAACGACTTCTTTCCTCTTTTTAATTCTTTTTTTTTTTGGTGGTACTGGGGTTTGAACTCATGGCCTCATGCTTGCTAGGCAGGAACTCAACCACTTGAATCTCTCTGCCAGTCTTTTTTTGTGTCGGGCATTTTTGAGATAGGGTCTTGTGAACTATTTGCCTAGGCTTGCCTTGAACCGCAATGCTCTTGAGCTCAGCCTCCTGAGTAACTAGGATTATAGGCGTGAGCCACTGGTACCCAACCCTCTTTTCAATTCTTAATTATTTTTCTTTCTTCCTGCTTAAAATTTTTATTTCTATTGTATCTTTAACTTTTTACATTACTTTCCCCTTATCTTTTTCATAGTAGTTATTGTCATTATTGTTTGTTAGGTTTTTGTCTTACTTTTTAATCTGGTGTTTCTTTTTCTTGTAGTGTTGGGGATCAAGTCCAGGACTTCTCACTTGTTGGGCAGGTGCTCTGCCACTGGACTATATTCCCAGCCCAACTCAGAGAAACTGAACCTGGTTCTAGCCATGACCTAGTTTCACTTAAACCTTGATGGATACTTTAAAGAAAAAGGAGGACAGAAGCTCCCAGTTGATGACCCCATCCCCAAACAGGCATGGTTTAGGAAGATCTGATGGCAGGCTCCTGGAAACTTACCCCATAGCAACAGCAGAGAGAAATAACAAAACTATTATGGACACCACACCTACAAAGGTCTTTAGCATGGAACCATACCCTATCAGATTGCAAAGTGATAGGAATACTGGAGGTGAGTGCCACAAAGAGGGAGCTGTGGCCCAAATCCCCACATATACCTATGAGACATCAGGATCTGTACCAGTGTCTAAAGACAGGATAAAAGGTCCAGGCCCATCATCATAATTGGAACATCCAGTACCAGAACTGCTTTCATGTAATAAGAACCAATATAACTAGTGCCAGAGAAACCCCCGTATCACCTGATAGGGGATTCCAATGCCACTTTAGCAGTGATCACAGAAGGTACACCCTGCTTACCATATCTGTATTTATACCATATCTGCCTGAACTACTAACAGGGACCCCACTCTTATGAGACTTACAGAGAAAGTGGGTCTCTTGGGCTGTGACACAGTATACCTTGTGTCAAAACCGACAATCACAGACAAAGAAGCAACAGGAAGATTATACTATGAAGTCTAATTGAAATTAAACTTAATAATACACAACAAACTGATACATTAAGACACATCATCAGGAGAAGGCTTCCTAGTAAGCAGACCCTCACATATAAAAGCCGAAGCGATAACCATCCCAAGAAATGTGCAAATCTCAATATAGAATCCAAGAAATGTGAAAAAACAAGGGAATATGGAACCTATGAAAAGTTTATAATTATACTAACAGATTTCAAATATATCAAAATACAACAAATGTTGGACAAAAAATTCAAAAGAATGATTAAAAAAACCTCAATGAAACCCAAGAGAATACATAAGTAGTTGAATGAATTAAGGAAGACAATGCAGGATATGAATGAGCACTTATTTCAATAAAGAGATAGAGATTATGAAAAAGTACCAAACAGAATCTTGAAAATAAAAAGCTCAATAATTCAGATTTTAAAAGCTCAGCTGAGCCAGGCACTGGTGGTTCATCCTAGCTACTTGGGAGGCTGAGCTCAAGAGGATCAAGATTCCAAGATTGGGAGGATTGCGGTTCCAAACCAGCCTGGGCAAAAAATTCTGTGAGACTTCATCTCAATGAGAAAAAAAATGGCATGGTAACATGTGCTTGTCATCCCAGTGGCAGGAGGAATCATAAAATAGGAGGTTCACGGTTCAGGCTGGCCTGGGCAAAAGTGAAACCCTATCTCCAAAATAACGAGAGCAAAAAGGACTGGAGGTATGGCTCAAAAGGTATAGCACCTGCCTTGCAAACACAAAGCCCTGAGTTCAGACCCCAATATTGCACACACACATGATGCAGTTGAGAGCCTCAACAACAAACTACATCAAGCAGAAGACAGAATATTGGAACCTGAACACAACTCTGCCAAAATATTACATTCAGACAACAATAAATAGGAAAATGAAGAATGAAGAGAATATAGATACCTGGGGACACCATTAAAAAAAATCAAACATCCACAGAATTGGCATACCAGAGGCAGAGTGCTATATGCTGAGGGAATAATAGTAAGTGAAATAATAGCAAAAAGTATCCCAAATCTTGGAAAAGACATGGACATTCAGGTATAGGAGGAATTTAAAGCCCCAAACACCTAGGACCAGAAAAGAACCTCTCTATGACAGTTACACTGCCAAAAGTACAGAAAAGAAAAATAACATGAAAAACTATGAGAGAAGCACATCAAATCATATTCAAAGGCAAACCCATAGAATAACAGATTTCTCAGAAGAAACTTTAAAGGCCAGGAAGGTATAGAATGATGTGTTTCAAATCATGAAAGAAAATAACTGCCTACCAAAATTATTATGCCCAATATGGAAGATGAGTTTGTAAAGGTTCATTCCCTTTCTATTTTATGGAAGTTTTAGGATCATGAGAGTGAGTTTTTCTTTAAAAGTCTGGTAAGCCAGGCATGGTAGCACATACTTGAAATCCATGCATGTATGACCAACTAATTCTTGACATAGATACTTAAAACATAAATGGGAGAAAAGCCTCTTCCATAAATGATGCTGGGAAAACTGGACAACCACATGAAAACTCAAACTAGACCCTTCCATGCCTCACCATGTATAAAAATCAACTCAAAAGTATATTAAAGACCTTAATTTTAAGATCTGAAATGTTGAAACTCCTAGAGAAGAACATAAAAGGAAATGCTTCTAGATATTGCAATAAGCAACAATTTCCTGAAGAAGTCTCCAATAGCTTAGGAAATAAAGAAAGAATTGACAGATGTTATATTGTATTAAGAAGCTTCTACACAGCAAGTAAATAATCGACAGAGTGTAACTACATTTAGAATGGGGAAAATACCTTCCAGCTGTTCATCTGAAAGAGGATTACTATTCAGAATACAGAAAGAACTCAAACAATAATGTAATAAAAAGTGGAAAATGATCTGAATACTTTTCAAAAGAAGAAATACAAGTGGCCAATAAATACATGTGCAGATTCCCAATATCATTAGAAATCATGGAAATAGAAATCCAAACTACACTGAGATTTCATCTCACCCCAGTCACAATGGCTATTATCAAAAAAATTAAAAAATGACAAATATGGTAAGGATGTAGAGAAAAAATGAGCCCTAAGATGCTGTTGGTAGGAATGTAAATTAGTGCAGTCAGTATGGAAACAGTGTGGAGATTCCTAAAAAAATAATTAAGAAATAACATATGTGATCCAGCTATACCACTCCTGGGTATATCCCAAGGAAATGATGTCCACATATAAAAAAGATACCTGCATACTCATGGTTACTGTGGCAATATTCACAATAGTGAAGATAAGGAATTAGTCTAGGTGTCTGTCAACAGATGAATAAAGAAAAGTTAAATCATGTCATTTGCAGGAAAATGAGTTGGAACTGGAGGACATCATGTTGAGCAAGATAAAAGAGACACAGAAAGACAAGTATTGTATGTTTTTTCTCAAATGTTGAAATTAAAAAGGAAATTGATATGTAAGTAAAAGATGGACTATTGGGGAGGGGGAAAGGGACTTCAGGGTGGGGAATGAAGGGTAAGAGAACACAAAAGGGAGGGTGGATATGTTAAGGCTCCAGATATGCATGTATGGAAAAATGTCACAATGAAACCCATTAACTTGTATAATTAATATACGCTAATAAAAAATTAACAAACTGAACACAGCAAAACGTTTTATGCATATAAGAGTATAGAAAGTACACATATTCTCACAAGCATATGATGTACTTAATTTCTTATCAAACTTAAATCTAAATAGATAGGAAAGCATTACCATGTTTAAGACATCAGGAGTTTCTTCAAGGCTTTCTGAATCAATTGTTGAAGAATTTTCTGTCCCTTTGGTCGTTGTATCTTGAAAATAATCTGAATTATAAAAAGGAAAAAAAGGAAATCCAGATTTCAACAGAAAAGGGAAAAGCAATTTGACAGAAAACAGAAGTTATTCTGCAATACAAAATGTAGGTATAATTTTTCCAAAGGTCCTTTAATCTCATGTTGGCTGTTGAGCAGAAGTCAATCACAGTGATGTTTTAAAATCTCTTTTTCAAAGTTTGAAAACTTCATTCATATGGACAGGCAAACAATAAATACTACCCAGGTATCAAGCACTGGAGGACTAATCCCAAGAAGGTTCCAGTGACCTATATTCTCCTAGTATTCTTAACCTCTATGTAGTTTCCCTTGCACATTATACTAGGTTGGTCTGTATGTATATAGTCAATTAAATAAAGCAGATATAACAGTGATGTCATTTTAGCTTCTTAGATACATACATGTGTGTTCTCTTTCTTTTGGATTACTTGCTCTGGGAGAAGCCATGATGTGAGCATTTCTGTGGAACAGGCTATCTCGCAAGGATGTGAAGCCTCCCTGCCAATGGCCACAGGAACAAGGTGGAAGCCCAATCAAGCCTTCAGACAACACAGCCTTTTCTAATAGTGTAACTGCAACCTCACAAAAGCTCCTAAGGCACAACTACTCAACTAAGCTGCTCCAGGATTCTTGACTCTCAGAAAATGTGTGCAATAACAAATGTTTGTTATTTTATCCCTGCTAAGTTTAAGGTCTTTTTTTTTAATATAGCAACAAATAACTAGTACAAACACTTAGAATCTTTCACAGACAATTGCAAGCTACTACATCATAAAGCAGATAATTAAAAATTGGAAGCTATATTAGACCTTAATTTTTTTCTCAGTTTCTTATAAGAGGGTATTATTTGATCACCTGTCCATTTGAAGGGAACTCTTTAATAAAGTCTTCACTAAAAATACAAGTTCACACTGATCTCTCCCTTTTCAAATCCAGTCAAGGGAATGAGCAAGGACTCACTTTGTGCTTATTCCATGTGAGATACAGAAATAAACTTAAATAATTACCAATTTTGTTGTTATTATCTAAATTCAAGGTATAAATGTTTTGATATAAGTTTTTGTATTCATACAAGTTCATAAGAATTAGTCACCACACCCAACTTTTAATTGGTTGAGATGGAGTCTCATGAGCTTTTTTTTTGAAGACAGAGGGGGAGATTTATTACATGGCTCAGGACATGTTGGGAAGAGGCAAAGTAAGCACTCAGTTCATCTTCAGCCATCTTCAGGGTATTAGGCATGAGTCAGAGGTTTAAGGAGACAAAGAACTAGGGGCAGGGGACAAAAAGTATACATAGTTAAGTAGTTCAGTAACAGGTGTGGTCTGATAGGTCATTATCTCAGTAGGTGGGTCCATCCGAAGTAAGGTCTATTGTTGGGTGTAGTTTCTGCCTCTTTCCTCTCATGAACTTTTTACCAGGGCTGGCCTCAAATAGAAATCATCCCAATCTGCACCTCCTGAGTAGCTAGAATTACAGATGTTAGCTACCACACAATTACTTTTTGTTAAGAAAGCTTTAGCAAATAGTCACAAAAAGATAATCATGGCATTCCCATCTTCTAGCTAGAAAAATGTCTTGAATTCTGAAATAACTTTCAGAATTAATTTCTCTTTTCCTTCTACATACTGCTTGTCTGAATATACTATTGCTCTTCTACATCCAGGACTGAAAAGCACCATTTGACATTTATTCTTATTTTAAAAATGAATCATACAAAATTTGCATGGCAGATGCATGCAGTCAGGTCATTATCAAGGTCCTTCTTTTTATTTATTTTTATTTTTTGTGGTACTGGGGGGTTTGAACTCGGGGCTTCATACTTGCTAGGAAGGGACTCTACCACTTGAGCCACTCTGCTTCACATATTTATCAGCAGCATCATTTTTCTATTTTTTTGGTGGTTCTGGGGTTTGAACTCAAATCCTCAAGTTCACTAGGCAGACGCTCTACCACTTGAACCATGCCTCCAACTCAAGGTTCTTCTTGTAGTTAATATACCATTCCCATGGCCCACTCTTGCCTGAGTTCCTGGATCCTTTATTACTTCATCTGTTTGTCAAGGTTCTTAATCTCAAAATCACTAAAATTCACCTGTGCCACGGTTCTTAATCCCTAATGCTTAGGTTTATCCCCTTAATGTTCCTCTAATCTCCCTTTTTTGTCTAGCCCCTATCATCCAAATGCACACCTGCAGAAATAACATTCCTAAGATATCCCTATGTCTCTAAACGAAATTATATAGAAAAGCTGAACAACAATGAAAGAGTTGGGATTACAATTTAAAGCATGAAATCTCTAATAAGCAATGAAGCAAAGGTTTTAATATTAGTCCTATTTACTAAGGGATTTCTATAGGTGCTGAGCTCAACACCATGCATTTCACAAGCCTGAACTGAATCCTCACAATCACTCTCTGAAGTAGGCTTTATTAAACCCATTTCAAAAATAAGGAAACCAAGGCTATGAGAGAATTAGATAGTAAATATCAGAGCTGGCATGTAATTGCAAAATCAGTTTAACTCCACACCCCAAGTTCTTAAACACTATGCATTACTATCTTAGTACAGAACTTCACATAGGTCCAGAAGACCTGCATTCAAATCTTGTCCACTACATTTATTAGCTGAATGACCATGAGAAAATAACTTTATCTCTTCAAGTCTTGCTTTTCTCATCTGTAAAATAAGGAATGTAACTCCCACCTACTTCATGGAATTGCTTCACGGTTTAAACAAGGCCATGTATGTTTATTCACTGTTCTATAAAGATATGCTGCTATTGTGACATGATAGTCATTGATGGTGCTTTCTATTTGTAAGGGTATTTATGGATTTTGAGTTCAAATGAGAGATGCTAGGTTCTAACTTAGGGAGAGAATAATTTAATCAGCTGGAGAAGATATCTTAGGATAAGTACAAAAAACAATAGGAATAAAAGGGATATTTCTCCTGAAAGCAGGCAGGGTAGCAAATAATACCTGGGTCCAGTGTCTCCATAGGATCTGAGATACTGTTATCTGAGAAGTTACTCCTCAGCAGACGGAAAGGGACTGAACAGGGGGAAAAATATGAAGCAGAGGTAGCAGTTCCGTCTAATGGTGGCTGCACTGTTGGAGAAGGTGGTGAGGGTCTCTCCTTTAAAATAAATAGGTTAAAAAGTCAAATGATATTTATATACATATATGGAAGTTTACACTGGCATCATATATATACATATATGTCTGTATATATATATATATATATATATACACATAATTATATATATGTATATATAATTCAATTGCTAAAAATATTTAAGAAAACATCTTCAAAGTCTGCCAACGTTCCACTTAATTTCCAAGGGCTCAAAACATTTTGTTCTGTTGTCTTTTATATCTTGGATGCTCTAAATTTTCTATTTGAAAGCCTGTTTTTCCAATGTTGTGGAAAAAGTGTGTGTGTGCCTGTGTGTGTGTGTCTCTGTGTGCGTGTATATGTATACGCAGGTGTGCGCATGCCTTGAGAAAAAAAAGATATAAACTACTAACAATTACAAAAGACTTATGGGATATTTCTCAACCTTTGCATATATACTTTTTTAATAAAAAGCCAGACTTAACCCTCTTACTTCAAAAGGGATACATTTTAGAAACAATAATTTTCAAAAAAGGAATGTCTCCTCTAAACATTGTTTGGCATTTTCTTTTAAAAAATAGGTTTCATTGAAACAGCATAGAGTCTCTAAACTCAAACTGATATCTGTATTTCCTTTTTTACCACATTTCATTATTTATAGTATAACCTTCCATTGCTCATAACTAAAAGATGAAAGAATGTAGCATGAGGCAAAATGATAAGTTCTAGAGATATGCTGTATAACATAACATTGTGCCGAATTTTTTCTTTGCAGTGCTAGATAATGCTATAGATAGACTAGACTACAATTGTACCCGTTCTCTTCGCCTCAGACGTGCTGATAAAGTTCTATGCAATACATTCCCTGAGGTCAGATAGCCAGCAGAGAGAGAAGCAGCTGTATTTAAGTAAGGATCATTTGGTTCATCAAAGTCAATTTCTTCTAACACACCAAGTCGTGGAGTGGCAAAAACTAGCATGTGACAGCCACCACAAGCAATCTGCAAACATAAATCCACACATAAATTAATCCACACTGGCATTAAACACAAATGGGTTAAGCTACTGGATTAGCTACAAGACATTTACTTAGTGTTAGACTTCCTAGACTGAGTCACTGAGGCGCACACACACACACACACACACACACACACACACACACGTTTAATGAATATACGTGAATTAAAATGTACATCTTTAAGTACTATAATTGAAAATTAGAACAAGTTTTATCTACCATTTTACTTTTGATTTAATGTAATATAGAGAAAAAAGTACTTGACACCTTATAAGTCTCTACTTGGCACGTTATATGTCTCCTAAAAAGTTAGAATAGGTTACATTTAATCGTGAGCAGTATCAAAACTTGAAAAAAAATGTTTAGAGAAGTTCTACCAGGAAAAATGACTCAAGAATAAATCAGTCTCTTGAGAAAATTAGGTCTCCAAGGTTTTTAGTCTATATGAACATTTTCTAAGTTTAATGCTTCCAAGCCCTTAGAGAAAAATGCATGATGATAGAACATTAAAAAATGAGACCAACATTCAAAGAATTTTGAGTAATAAAAGATTTTCAATAAAATGCTAACAAATACACAGATTCTACTGACTGTACAGTGTTTGACCTGGTGGTATAAGAATGGCACACTCTGTGCCTTTACTTTATAATATTTTCAAATTTTAAATTTTTCTGTACTTTTGTATAGACCTTTTAAAAGTTATCTGCATTAATACTATAAGCCCAATTGGGACTGGGATGTAGCTCGGTGGCACAGCGCTTGCCTAGCATGCGTGAGGCCCTGGGTTCGATCCCAGCACCAAAAAAGAAAAAAAAAGGCAAAAAAAAAAAAAGACTATAAGCCCAATGAATGAGAATCTGGTCATTTGTTCACCATTGAATACTCTATATAGTCCAGTATCTTGCACATAGTGACTTGCATTAAATGGTTGTCAAATGAATGAATGGGTAACTACTCAACAGGCAGAGATCAGGAGGATCATTTTTTGAGGCCAACCCAGGCACAAAACACAAGACCCTATCTCAAAAATACCTAACACAAAAGAGGCTGGCAGAGTGGCTCAAGTGGGAGAGCTCCTGCATAGTGAGCATGAGGCCCTGAGTTCAAGCCCCAGGACTGCCCTCCCCCCCACCCCCAAAAAAAGAATGTTCCATAGTATAAGACATTCATAGTATGAGATCTTTGGAGAAGTAATATTATCATCACCAAGTAAACAGAATTTACATTTCTACGTTCTTAATTGAAAAAACTATTAGAAATAATACAGATGCAATGCCTGCTATTGATGTGTTACTAAAACTATATTCTTATCTGAACAACATTTAGCCACTAAGACATATTTCCAAAACTCTTCATTTATTATCAGATTTCTTCTTGTACAGGGTTTGAGACTCTCAGTAACATTTAATGCCACAAGTATTAAGTGAAGACTACTCCACTGGGTACTTGCTACACAAGACAAAAGCTTACAGGCATGGCATAGTCCTGGCTTTTAAGAAACATGAGAATGAAGCTGAAGAATCAAGATGTAGACAAAAAGGAAGGTGTTAAAGGGGAAAATAGGAAAGGGATAGATTTTCAGAGTGGCATGTCTGGTACTTGGCTTTAAGAAACTAGTTATGTTTAGCTATATCCACAACACTCTTTTATACAAATATAAAAGTACTTATTTTGTATGAAATATTGAAAGACTCAAACCTAGGAATATGACAATGTAAAGAAAGGAATATGATACTCTTACCAATTGAACTGTAAATCTCAAAAAATTAGAACACAAAGTGGGAAAGAATTGGTTGGTAAAATTCTCTAGTCCAAGTCCTAATTTTCCATGTCGGCCATCTCCAAAAGTATACATAAGGCCTATATCTAAAATACAAAAAAATGAAGAGAATTATTGCTAACTGTATGGCTCTATTTGTAAACAAACAAATACATTAGATTATACTATAATTATGTTCCCATCAAATCCTGCATGGAATTTAGTCTGGTCCATTGATCTTTTCATAGTTTCTATGGTCTCTGTGGTTCAGCTGTGATAATAAAAAGTGTCTCCAGACATTACATGCATCTTCTGGGAGAACAAATTGTCACTGGTAGAGAACTACTGACTTAGATCAATCCTACTGTCTTTTTAATTCATTCAGCTCCTGGGCTTGGAATGATGCCTAAGGAAATGCCACAAGCCACCAAACCATGCTGACTAGTCCCCATTCCATTATCTGGGTCCCTCTATAACTAGGTCCACGATGACAAATAATCTTGTTGACTCTGTCTAATTAACCCTTTTGAGTACTGCCACGGAAACTATTCTGAACCTTTGCTCCCATTCTCAGGCCCCTCCTTCATTTCAAGTGAAGTCAGTGCTCTGAAAGCAGAAGTATTTGGTACCAACAGGGATACAGAGAAAGGGAGTTTCCCTCTAGTCTGATGATTAGGGAAGGCTTTTAAACTGAAACCTAAAGAATAAGTAGGATTTAGCTGTAAGAAGGCAGGAATGAAGCATTCTTCAAGCAGAGTCAAGAGTACATAGAAAGACCCTGAACCAAGAGAAAACATAGCTCAGGCAACAAGCTAAAAGGCAGCTAAAAGAGCCTAGTGCACAAAGAGGAAATAGAATAGTATGAGCCTGAAGAGGTGAGACATAACCATATCCCAAAGGGTTCAATTAATTCAGATAACAAATTTTTGGACTCTATCTTAAGGACAATAATAAGATTTTTAAATGAATGGTTTTAAACTAGGAAATAAATAGCTCATATTTAGGGACTTCTGGTTTAAGAAGGTAAAGTGATTGTATAGTAATACACAAGAATTGACTGAAAAGCCATTCCCCAATGGTTCACGCCTATAATCCTAGCTACTCAGGAGGCAGAGATCAGGAGGATTTTTGGTTTGAAACCAGCCCGGGCAAATAGTTCATGAGACTCTATCTTGAAAATACTCAAGAAAGGGCTGGTGGAGTGCCTAAAGGTGTAAGCCCTGAGTTCAAACCCCAGTACCACAAAAAAACCCCCCAAAATTTTTTTGACCAAAAAAAAAGATTGGAAATAATATAATTCAGAATTCATTAAGGTGGTAAGTTAAATAGCTTATAAAAACAAACAGAGCCCATATAAATAAGTGATAACCAGTGTTTAGAATCTTTTGATGATTATAATTCTTACTATTAGGTACTTATTTCCTTTCTTTATATATACTCCTTATTAGCTTTATCCCTTCCTCCTTCTTCTTTTGACCTTGATTTCTTTATCCAAAAATGCCTTTGAAAGGTCTACCTTTTTAATCTGATTTTTTGTCAGAACAAATAAAGTCTGATCTAAGCTGCCTGACTGCACTTCTAACCTCAGAGTTTTTAAAAATATGAGCCACTGGCTATAACAGGAAACTGGCAAGAACTTAGGAAAAAACCTCACTGCACACCTCTCATCAGTTCTAAAGAAAAAAATCCTTAATACTTGTCCCTTGCAGTGGGTGGATGAGCAAAAAGACAAAGTTAATGCCTAATTATTTGTGCTATAACTCTTCTCAAGAGGAGAAGGTACTATTAAAACTTAACAAAATAATATAATTTTGTTATATTTTATCAATGGTTTGATAAAAAGTGTGTCTTTACCATTAATGGCAATTCAGAGTTGATGAAAAATAGCAATAAGGATAGAGAAGCTGAGATTAGGATACCACAATAAGGATTTATATTAAAAACTTTTATAGGACAATGAAGGAATAATATTTCTTTATATTCTGCATAGTGCAATTACATGCTTTGCTAACATATGGTCCTTTATGAAGGGTTCTGTGGGGAAGCAGGAACTGTATATGGTAGGTGCCTTGAATTTGCTGACTCCTACTTTCTCTAACTAGATACCATTAGATGAGCTACATTATAATGGAAACTTTTTTAGAAAGAAGGAAAAACGTAGAAGTACAAGAACCTGGATTATTTCAATATACTAAATGATTTCTGACTTTTGATGCTTTACTTTATTTTTAAATAGAAATTGTGAAATTTTGTAACCTTTTGTTACAAAGCATTTAAATTGTGGAGTATTATCAATTACTCATAGGTAAGGGCCTGAATAATTTAAAGGGAGAATTTTATTGAATCTACACTATTAGTAACAACTAGTTTCTAAGTCTGAGCAGTAGGCGCAAAGGAACATCTCCCTGGATAAAAGAGAAGTCACAGAGTAGATGTATTAGTGGTCTTTGATGTTTCCTTCTATCACTGTAGAAAGAGAAGGAGCCATTCCCCAAAGTGCATCCCGGTGGCAAAAGCATCACAAGAATTTAGCCAGCCTGATTGCAGTTCTTTCAGATTGAACTGGAAGAATGCTTTAAGCCAAGCAATGGTGGCTCACATCTATTATCCTAGATTTTTTGGGAGGCTGAGATCGAGAAGATTGCTGTTTCAGGCCAGCCTAGGCAAACAGTTCTTGAGACCCTGTCTCCAAAATAACCAGAGCAAAATGGATTGGAGGTGTGGCTCAAGTGGTAGAGCACCTGCTTTGCAAGCACGAAGCCCTGACTTCAAACCTTCCACCCTTCCACCCTTCCCCCCAAAATAAGAATGCTTTAAAATAAGTCCTTTCTTGTAGGATTTCCTCCTATGGCCTGAGTAGAATTAAGAGCCTTCAAAATGATATAATTTCTAAAGGATTCCAGCCTTCTGCCAAAGTCCATATACTTTTGACCAATGGCCTATTTCAAGGTTCTAAATCTTTGGATCATTTTGGGGGGTTTTGGTATTGGGAATTGAATCCATGTTCATCACATGTTTAAACTCAATTAAAATAATAAAAAGTAGTTTATAACTTTATACTTTGGAATATTCATTGAAGAATTCCATTTTTTCAGTCATGAATTACTTTACTTAATTGAGATGCATTTGTTCTATATATTATTTATTTTGTTCTATAAATGTGAAACAGAAAACCTAATCCATACCTGTCTTTAAAGCTGTGTGATTTTCTCCACAGGAAATATAACTTATTTTCTGGTCCTTAATATGCTCAATGACTTTGGGTTCAGATGTTTCAAAAAGAAAAGTGCCAAGGCCCAGCTGCCCAAACTGCCCTAGTCCAAAGGCATATACGGTTTTTTCTAAAAGAAAAGGAGGGGAAAACAAGAAAAAGACAGCATGGAAGCAGACGCTGTCACTGTCATATCTTAAGAAATAACTATATAAGAATACTAATACTGATGTGTAAATTTTTCAATGCTGAATGAAGAGAAAAATGAAGATATACACAGTTATAAAAATTATGACATGAGTCTGATTTTATCTTTTATACATAATCACAAAAGGAAATACTATAAGTAAGCTACAGGTATGAGACAAGATACATAAATCAGGGAACTGCCTGACATGTCTCTAACATTACCACATCAGCTCAAAACGTATCAATTGTCAAACTGTCATTAAAGTGATTCTTTTCACTGCTACAAATAAAAATAATGCTTCTTACAAAAAAAGCCTTCTTACTTTAAAAAGTAGTTTAATAATCTATCTTATAAAACACAATTTCTTGGCTGAGAGTATGGCCCAGTGGTAGAGCACTTGCTTAAGCATGCACAAGGCCCTGGGTTCAATCCCTAGCACCACGAAAAAGAAAGAAATGACATGTTATACCAAATATGAAATTCAGAAGCCAAAAGTGACATTACTATTATGAGTGTAACTTTTTAAAAGCTTTACCACTTTTTAATGAATTACTATAACAGAAAGTAAAATCACAAAGAAATCTTCAAGTTATGCATTGCAAATATCACAAAGACTTATCAACAACATTAAAAATAGCATGAATACAGCTTCTCCAAAAGAAGATATTTTAGGAAAAAAATAATGTCATTATAGATAAATATGGAATATATATACATGAAGAAAATAAATTATCCTTGAAAATGATCTAAAAACAGTACTATTTGCTGCCATTAAATAAGGTCATAGGACAGAAATATTACTAGCTATAGGAATAAAAGGTGGGGATCTTAATGGGAAGAGATACAAGGCCAGCTTCCATGAGGAATCTGAAAGAGTGAAACTCATAAAAGATAAGAATAGAATGGTGGTTACCAGGAGCTGGGGTGGGAAAAAAGGGGAGATGTTATATAACAGGCACAAAGTTTCAGTTTTATAGGAAAGGTTTTAGAAATCTATTGTACAGTGTTGTACTTATACGTAACAATACTGCATTATACACTCAAAATTTGCTCAGAAATTATAGTGCATGTTAAGTGCTTATACCACAATAAAAAAAGATCTTTAAAAATGTCGTTAGCAACCACTGAAAGCAGGGAATAGAGTAGTAGGCACCCCACATACCTGTAAGAACCACAGTATGCCCTCCACCACACGCCACTTGAATCACCTTCTCAGGAATTCCAGCCACCAATTGGGGTGATCTGTGATTGCTAAGCAGCTGACTGGGAAGACCTAATTTCCCATGGTCAGGTTCTCCAAATGTGTACAGTTCACCATCCACTATTGAAGGAAAAGTAGAGTGATGGTGACATAAATACTAACAAAATACTGGATTTTGGGTATGTGTTTTCATACTCAAAAAATTTAGACAGTGACAATTTACTAAATTTGACCTTTATTGGGATATTTTTACTGTGTGATGAGGAAATAAAGCTAGATTTTTCCCCTTGATCATTGTAATCCAATAATATTTGTGAAGAGTTCACAACTATTACTACTAATAAGCAACTATGAAATCATTTTAGCTTTCTCACAAAACATAGTAAAGATTATCTTACATATTCTATTTACTTTTAATAAAGCAAAATGAATGCATATTAAGCTCCCGTAAGCCCATAGATTTTGTCTTTCTTACTGTAGTATCCCCAAAACCCAGAAGAGTGTCAAGTACAAGCATTAATAAATACTTGGTGAATGAATGAATGATTAAGCACTTTTTATAAAACTTGTTTAGGAAACTCATTTATATGTGAAGTACATATAAGTTAATCTTAAGACAGCAGATTTTACTCAGATGGCACTTCCTCCAGAAAGACTCTCTCACTAAGGAGCTCCTGACAATCACTACCTTGTCCATACTAACACTATTAATTTGCCTTTGTATCACAGTTATCACACTATATTATGACTGCAAGCTTCTTGAAAGCAGGATCTTTCTTATTCACTTCTATAACATTGTCACTTACTCACTGAGTTATACTGAGCAGTCACTGTACCTGCAAAATAGGGATAAAGGTACCTATGCTATAGGGTTTGTTGTTTCATAGAAATAAATTAATTCATGCATTCAGATGTACTAAGTAAACTCTCTTATGCTTGAGTTATTTCCAAGATGTGTAAAAAGTTGTTTTAAATAATTAAAGTCATAAAATAATGGCTGTTGTGAAAATTACTGACAGTTAACATCAGTTGATGTAAATGAATCTCCTGCAAACTGCTTAGTGTAACAGCCTATGACTATACTAAAAAATCTCTCAATTGTACACTTTAAATGGGTAAATAGTATGGTATGTGAATTATGTCTCAATAATGCTGCTTTTTAAAGATATAAAAACAGAAACAATAAAGCTCAATGCAATGCTTGCTGGTTAAGATAAACAATTGTACTTGTTCATCTAATGGCTAAAGTAAAGTTTATTAATAAAATTAACTTGCTTTCTCATTGGACAATTGATTATTAAAAGGTATATTGTGGTGAACAATACCAACAAAGCCAGGTTTACCCAATCTTGGTATCATGCTGCTACCAATATATTGACAAATCTGGGGAGCACTAGGATCAGTCATTCAGCACTTTTTAAACCTATATCAATGATGCATAGAATAAAGAGTAAATTTAGAGAGATGTCTAAGAGGGTCCACAAAACCATTTCATCTAGGTGTTTTTATTGTTAGAAAAACCATCAAGTAGATGGAAAGTCATGCTCATATTTCTGCTATTTTTACTGGTGCAGATACTGATAATAGAGTCCAACATTTCAAATACTTTAACTAAGGCAGAAAAGATTGCCAGTGGGCCCAGAAAAGAGAACTGGGGATGCTGAGAAAAGTCCTACAAAAGGAAACTATATCTCATACTAAGTTCTCTTCTTTCTCCATCTAGTTTTTATTCCAGCTCCCACAAGGGAAGTCTGTGGCTCACTTATTTGAAATAAAAGAAATTGTCAGAAGAAGAGTAGAGTCAAAGTATGGAGGGAAGTAGGTCCAGTGGAAAGTGGCTCATAGATCTTGTTTTGAATGCCAAAGGAGTCTAAGAAATTTGAGACCCAAAATCTAGAAGGGTTTCTAACACATCAATTAATTTTCTGATAGATTTAAAAAGCTAGTATATCACAGAGAGCTTGAAATTACAAACTCTCACTGTAGAAATGGAGAAAACACTGTGGCCTAAAACATGCCCAAATCATTTTATTACATGGACAACCAAGGCATTATTTCTATATAATTTTGGAATATGTTACATTATTTTATTATTAATCTAGTAATAACTTAGAAAGGAAAGATAACATGATGAATCCAAAATTTTCTGTCTTACCTGTTACAAAAGCTGAATGATAATATCCACAAGAGATCCAAGAAATCGGTTTCCCAATAGTCACTTGATGAGGAACACACACATTACATATATTTTTTAAACCAATTTGTCCTTCAGAATTATCTCCCCACATAAAAAGTCTTCCATCCTCTATAAAGAAAACACAAGGGGGAAAAAGGTTTTAAAAGTTATCAAGCTATTACATTTCTAATGGACCATTTTTTTAAATTCTGACTTAAATGTTTTTTAGTTTTATATTATTTTGGATTGGCACATAATAATTGTACATATTTATGAAATGAAACATGATGGTTCAATGTATGTATACACTGTGTAATGATCAAATCAGAGAAATTAGTACATCTATCACTTTAAACACTCATCATGCTTGAGAACATTTAAAATCAAATCCTCTACTCTAGCTACTTTGAAACGTACAATCTGTTACTGTTAAATAACTTATTCATCCAATCTAAATCTTTGTACTGGTAGACCAACCTTCCCCCCCAACCCTGCCTACTATTCTCCCCCAACCTCTTCAGAACATTTATTTTTTTAATTTAGAAAAATGATGTGTCTTGAAAGAAAAGTAATACTAAGGCATTTATGCCAGCTAGCTACTTAAGAATTCATTTTCTATTGTGAAATGCTCTATAATGATAAACAACAGAGAATGTGTTGATTATATATCATTTTACATCCATATTTTTGTCTCAATAGGAAACACAAGATGCCATTTCCTATAATCACCTTGCTTCATTCTAATGTCTTTAAACAGAAATGTTTTCCTCCTTCTAAGCAGTCTACCTGCCTCTGTACTGAGAGACAGCTTGAGCCACACTAAAGATTCCCAGAGCAAAAGAACAAGTCCCAAGTCAAAATGGGATGGAAAACCTTGCTCTTAAGAACACTGTGGATTTTTTTCTTATAATTTATACCTGAAAATACAAACTCTAGCCTCAGAGATTGAAGAGACATACTAGCATATATAGCATTTCAAAAAGCACATTAATTTATATCCTTTCTATAAGGGTTTCAGCATAGAAAAGGTTAAGCTAGAATAAATATTTTAGAAGAGAATTATCAATACTTACCTACTTTTATCTTTTAATGAATTAAAATTAATCTTTGAAGTGGTTTAATAAGGCAGATAAAATTATAACTGAAAAGAAGAACTGAGAGATGGATGTCAAAGAGCTAATTAAAGGGTTGACAAAACTGAAGGAACAGAGCTTCAGATACAATTCTAACAGCCAGAGCAGTACTACACTTTACAGTCTCCTTCTTGGAACAAAGTAACAAACCGCAGCTGTCTGAGAGCAAGATGTAACTTTTAAAGATAGTTCTCATATGTGTTTCTGATGAGGTAGAGAGATACAATGACCATTATAAATCACATTTTAACAATATATGCCCTCAGAGATTTCTATGGCTATTTATGATAACAACTTCAGTTGAAGCTGCAAATATAAAACTCTCAGAATATGCAATGAAGCTAATATCTAAGAATATCTAACAGAGACAGACAGCAGAGCTTAGAATTTATTCACCAATCACCCTTTAAATGTATTGATTACATCTTATTCTAAATATATATGTAGATTTAAGGTTATATTTTAAATATCTTCTGATATTTATAGTCAATGAAAACTAAGCAGTGATACTATCTTGAGTTTATTGAGTTGGTATATCCTGGTTAAAAAGAAAATATGTCCCTCAGGTAGAAATTGAAACAAGTCTCACTCACCAGTCAGTGCAGCTGAAGTATTAGAACCAGCAGAGAGTTGTTTAATGTGATGCTGGGGTGTAAAAAAGTTAATTCGATGAAAAGTATTTCTTTCTTCGGTATCACCAAGTCCAAGCTGGCCTTCATTATTGCCACCAGCTGCATATACATTGCCTTTTTCTATACGTGGAAAAGAAATATTAATATACTATAGCCACCCTTTCTATGAAACAGGTGAGTATATATGAGATAGTTGCTCAATTAATAGTGAAGAAAAGAATGAACAAAGGGAGAGGTGTGAGAAGGAGCTAGCTTAAAAACAAAAGTAGCTGGGAGTGGGGAGAGACAGGAAGGCCTGCTAAGTTGGCCAGGGACTGCTAACTGTTCAGCAGCATTTATTGAAAATATACTTTTTTCCAACAGACTACTTAAGTACCTTTGTCAAAATTCAGCTGGGTCTACTTCTGGAATCAATTGTTTCATTAATCTTTATCTATTTTTGTCAGTACCACACTATCTTGATTATTGAAGCTTTATAGTAGATTTTGAAATCAGGTAGTACCAGTCCCTCAATTTTGCTTTTTTTCAAAATTGTTTTGTCTATTCTCTTTCCTTTGATTTTTCATATAGATTTTGGAATCACTGTCAACTTCTACTCACACACATACACACACACATACACACAGCCTGTTTGGATTTTGATCTGACTCATATTCATAATCTTTTGGGTGGCTTCCACTCACCCTCAGTAAAGAAAATGAACAAGAAACAGATGGGACCAACCCTTGAGATGCATTCACAGGCAAGGAGATGCTATCCCTTGATATAATTCAAGAAAACACTTTTGTTCAGTCATTTAACATTCATCTGCATAGTTACAGTGACACTCTAAAACACATTAAAAAAAAACCCTAATCTATTGCTAAAGTACCATTTATACTAATTTTACAAAGCTGCAAATATTACCAAAGTGAGACCTCAATTCTTCAGAGCAGGGCAGGAAGTCATATAGGTTGGATACTATACCTGTTGAAACTAAAGTGTGGTTCCTTCCACAGGCAGCCAGTTTCACTTTTTCAGGCTTAAGAGCTAAACATGTAAGAATATGACAATTAAAATATCTTATGCATATAAAAATGATAAATAATCCAGGTCAAATGGTAACTAAGTTGTAGAACTAAGATTTACTTATTTATTATAGTGCTGGGGATGGGACCCAGGACCTTGCACATGCTAGGCACATACTCTACAACTAAGCTACAACCCTAGCCCTGGAACTCAGATTCTAAAGCACTGACTCCAAAGTCAATGTTCTTAACTACTAACCTAGAGGGTTTTCAGAACTAGTTGTGCATCATAATAACCAGTGGAGCACTAGAAAGAGTGCTCATTTGTTCTGAGGTAGGGTCTAGGCATGTAATTTTTTTTAAACCCCACAGGTAATTAATACATGGTGTGACCCACTGTTGTGCTGCCTTCTCACCAACCTAATCCATCACCTAACCTGCCATCGCCATTATCAAGCTCACCTTCTACCACACTCCATGAAAATCCTAAGTCCAATATTCACAGGTGTACACCTATGTTAAAGATATTAATTTATTCATATATATATTCAAAAAACACTTCTAGAATATCTCCTAAGTGCTTGGCATAACATCTGCAGAAATGACTACGATAGAGTTTCTGCTCTCAAGAATCTCACGGTCTAGGCTATACTATTTGCTGTCTTTTAGATATGAGTTAGGACCATAATACCATCAAGTGTTTAGTCTATGCTCAATGCTTTTTGACCATGTGGAATATTTCCAAAGTCCTTTAACAACATCTATAAACAGCATGGATATGATAAATTCATCCTGAACTTTTGAGCTGAAATTTAAATTTTGGCCAGGAAGAAAAAGAATGCTGCTCTTGTCACATTCCCAAAGAATCTACATTGCTCTTCAAAACATCCCATGTATTCTGGCACAGTTCTGATTTCAAATATTTTGTCCTGTTGTTCTTGTATACTAGACCCACAGTCTTGATGTTTTGTTCAGTTCATCTATTCATTATATACTGTAGGATAAAGTATATAGGATAAAGTTATGTTTTATAAAACCTACAACTATATATAACTGTGATATAAATGAGACAGTGCTCAAAAGCCTAACACATCATAATGTCTGTTATGTGTACAGAATAACAGTAGTATTTAAGTAGTTTTACAAACAAGCAAACAATATGTTCAAATTCAATATTGTAGGATAATTACTTCTTTTGTGTTACGAGTTTTAGACTCAAAAGTAGTTCTGAGTTTCATATACAGAATAAAATTGAATGCTAGCAACATTCAAGTAAATGTTCCAAATAAAGAACTAAAGACTTTATTATTTATGACATTACAGAACTACATAATCAGTATAAAAGTACTTTTATGTAGTTTAAGTACTTAAAATGATAAAGACCAAACCTTTGACACAGGTTGGTTTGTTGATAGTCGACTGTGATCCTAATCCCAGCTGTCCCCAGTTGTTACTGCCAAACACGTAAAGTTTATTATTTCCTAGTGGGAGGGGAAAAAGAAATAACAAATTGAAGCATTCTTCACATAAATAGTATGAGATGAAAACATTACAAGGCAATAAAAAAGATATACTTTAAAAATGTCATTGCTTTTTTATGTTGAAACGGGTTATCTTGTCCATGTATATATGGCCAGATATGTTAGGTGTAAAATTTGTAAGATTATACAGTAACACTTTTATTATATTGAAATAGATTTATTCCAAGAAAATTGTATGTATAGAAAAATCATACTTAAATATACTATGGTAGCCTAAGTTAGAGTTGAAAAGACTCTCTGTGAAACAATTTGTGAAGAATTCTCTGACAAAGTCAAGAAAACACTTTCTGTATATCTTCAAAGTGTTTAAAACACAGCACATTTGTAATATTTAGGATTCTCTTAAGTATTATTGTACTCATTTAGGATTGCAATACTAACCTGTAACAATAGCAGTATGTTCATCTCCACATGAAAGATATATAGGTATGTCATTTTTAAACCAGAATTTGCTAGGAATATTTTCAGCGAATTTAGTTTTTCCAAATGTAAACACAGCACCCGAATCTGCAAATACAAGACAGTTTCTATTTCATAACTTTTACTACACTGCCTGTTATTAAAATACTTTTTCAGTAATTTATCCATACTAATGCGGTATCTGTGACAGCTTTACCTCTGCGTGAACACTTCCTTTTTTCACCTCAATTCAGTCTTACTCTTCAGACTTCATTCTAGTTTGACCTATGAATGTACTAAATTGAACATGTATTATTTATTTACTGGTAACATAAGAAGTATACTATCACAAGGAAAGCAGTCATTTATTACTAGTAGTTCTATTGTTACTAGGTGGACATTTGATCCCTGGAATTTGTGCCCTCGCTTTGGTTACTGTCTCCTTATTGTTTATTTTGACCTCCAAAACACCATCAAAAAATGCCATGGTTCTAGGAGATTAGGGGAGATGTCGAGATTTAACCTTCTTAAATTAAGTCATTACTTGATCTGAGAAATATTCACAAACTGTTTTGGTCCAGTACTATTTTGAAGAGACCAACCTCCCACACACACCAGTTCCCAATAACAACTTAAATACACCCCCGCCCCCAAAAAAACTGGGCAGAACCAGCAACAGAAAGGAGAATGTACTGAATAATAACAAGTATCAATGTGCAAGAGACTAGTCACTGTGGAAAACTTTTGAGAACTATGGTGAAGCATCACAGTTCAAGTAGTTGGGACGCCAGAAACAATCACTTCAACTGTTTTGTTCCGGCTCCCCAGGGAGGTCCCCGATTGCCCCCACCCCAAGCCGGAGTTGGTGGCCCTGCTCTGCCGTTAGCATTTAAAGTCACACTATATTGCCGTTTTATTTACTTTCTTGTATCTCTTGACTGTGCTGTGAACTCCAGAAGGCCAAGAATCGAATCGTGTTTGAGCCAGGAGTTTTGCCAAAACGGCAGTAACGTATTTCAACGAATGTATAATTCCGCTGTAACCCTACTGTTTCTTCAGACTGTTAGTTGTAACCCATTAGTGGGTCAAAAAATCAATTTAGCGGGTCATAATCAGCATTTTTAACGGGACGTATTAAAGAAAAGCTCTGAGCGCATCTCAAGCGGGTTTAACAGGTTTTTCTTTCACGAAACGTCTACACTGCACGGAAGCGCGACGCGTCACAATGTCGAATGTATTTTCAAACTATAGAGCTGAGAGGAAAAAGTTTTTAAAAGGAAAAAAAAACCGCTAAAGGCTCCCTCTTCTTCCCCTTCCTCCAATTCGTTTCCTCCTTGGCAAGTTTAGAGTAAGGTACAAATTGCCCCAGCCTTCGAGAAGCTGTCCCCTATCGCTTCCTTCCCACCGCGTCGACTCCCTTCAGTCACTCGCGGAGGCGGGGCTAGAGTTCCCGCCTCAATCTGGCGGATAAACTTCGGGCCTCTACCCCGACGGGGTCGGCCCATAGGCGGGGCGGGGCCGCCTGCCCGCCCAGACCCCTCCTTCCCTCCCTCCCTCCCTCCCTCCCGGCCGGCCGCCGCCGCCGCCGCCACTCACCGGGTATCAGCGTTCTGGGCTCCCCCATACCGAGCACGGTCTTGGAAATCTGTCTCTGGGCGGGAAACACAGCAGGGGCGAGTCGGTGGGGCCTAAAATGGCACCCTTCCGCTGACGCAGACCTCGGAAGACCCCCGGACCCCCATGGCAACCCTCCTGGCATCGGCGACTACTACGCTCCGCGACGACAACAAACAGCCGCTAGGGGCAACGGAGGCGGAACGTTGAGACGCGAGGCGGAGCTGGCGTTAGGAGGGGGAGGAGGGGGAGCCAGGCGACCAGTGCGGCGCACGCGCAGATGCAGTAGGCGGGACGGTAGAGACCACGCGCCCTCTACTGGCCGGAGAGGAGGGGCCGCCAAGCGGCGGCGCGCGCTTCTGAGGCCGGACATACAAACCATGCAGCGCGACCCAGTCCCGGTAGGTACAAACGTCACGTATCTCACGTACTCGCTGGGTTTGTGACATATGCAGATGTCGACACCCAATTATGACAACACTAGTAACAGTGACCATCTTACATTAAATGAGCTAGGCACTTTGCTACACCTTTTTCGTCCTAAAGTGCATTTGTATCCCCTATATGTGATACAAATAGACCATATACTACATACTCATTAAATATTTATTGAGCGAATGAGTGCTACCACAGCCCTGTAAGATGGTTTATGTCACCCCTATTTATAAATATGCACATTATACATCCGGAGAGCAGATGTCCAGCTCAGCTAGTTCGGTCTGTGGACTGAACTGACTGCCCTCCTGCATTCTTCTCAGGAGGAAAAAGCTGAGGTATATAAAATTTACTCAACATTAATTTTGTAGTCAAACCTTGGTTTCCCATGCATCCACACTTGGCCATGATAAAATAAAGAAGCAAAAAGCCATCTTCTAGGATGAGTAGATTTGTGTACCTGTGGTAGTTGTGGACAATATTTCTTAGATAAAGTTGGATTCAAGGATCCCTGAATTACTTGTGTGTATTTGAGCGGGTTACCAACACTTTCTCGGGGATTTTGCATTAAAATGGTGAGGGGAAAGCAGACCATCTAGTACACATACAATCATTTGCGTAGAAGCAAAATGGGAGTGCTACTAAGAAAATGCTTAACAAATAGCATTAACCTTGTGTGGAATGTTCAGAAAGGCTTGTCTAAAAACAGGACTTTCAGTGTAAGAACTGAAGAAATTGAAGCTGAGAGGAATGAGAGAACTCTGGGCAGAGCAAATTGTGTGCAGAAGCTCTTAGGGAACTTGGTTCTTTCCAGGAACTCAAAGATGCTGGATCCAGGTGAAAAGGCAGGGTTTGGGGCCTGTTAAAGGAAGCTGAAATTTTATCTTAAGGGCAATGGAAAGCCATGCAGAGGTTTTGAACAGTAGAGTGACAGAACAGAATCAGTTGCATGTGTTCCTGAAGTCATTCAATCTGGCTGCTTTGTGGGAGAGTAAATTGGAGCAGGGAGTTGGGTTCAGAGGCTATTACAAGTATTCAGATGTGCAAGTGGTGACACTGGCTTGGAGTCCAGTGCATTAGCACACAGGAAACGTCTGATTATTGACTCTTAGAAAGTGCTGGCCTATCAAATAGCAGTAGCAAGAAAGAGGCCCTAAATTATTTTGAAGAGGATTTCATATTCATTTTTAAAAGACCATGATAATCATGTTGAGAAAATCAGAATTTTTTAAAGGCTTACTGTAGTTATGATATCCTTTTTTTGCTTTTGTAAAATTTCAGAATTTGATAAAGCACATTTGGTGCTGAGCACTCCTGTAGGTATTGATACAGCCCTACTCTCAGCTTTTCAACACAAACAAATAGGAAGCGGGTGGCACTATTTATGGAGATGGGAAACACTGAGGAAGGAGTGGATGAACCTGGAGCTAGGTAGATGGGGACACAGAAAACAAAATGAACTCAGCCTCGAGCACACACATCAAAATGGAGGTGGTGAGCTGAGTAGGCAATTGATGAGCAGAAGCCCCGGGTGGAGAACATATTCAGGTAATGTCTGGGTCTATGTGGTGATGAAAGCCTTGGGAACAGATGAAAGACTGGAAAGTGACTATAACACAGGAGGCAAAAGAAGCTAGAATGACTAATGTCAGAATTTAATGGCCCAGCAAAAGATGAAGCTTAAAAGGAGATAGAGTGACCAGAAAGGGATACCGTATGGAGTAGTGCACCAACAAAGAGGGTGTGGTCCATTAGATCACATAATGTGGACAAATTAAATAAGATAAAAATTAAATGTCCATTGAAGCTAGCAATGTGGTAGCCATTAGCGGTGTTGGAAAAAGCTGTTTGGTAGGGTGATGAAGAAAGAAACAGTATTGGAGCAGTTAGAGAGTGGGGAAATCTGAGAGAAAGACATGTGGGTACAAGCTTTAGAGATAGACTATCAAGGTAGGGGAGCCAGTAGTTGGAGGGGAAAGTGAGGTGGATAGAGGGCTTTTGTAAAACTTGGAGTCACTTGATAATGACGATAGGTCAAACTGACTAGATAGAGAAAGAATGCAGTTTTAGGAGAATGAAGGAATAATAAACAATATAAGACAGGAGGTTTTGGCATCTAGTCACCACATGGAGAAACTGGCTTAGCTAGAAGGAGAGACAATACACTTAGCATACAGAAGGCGAGGAAGAAAACCTCCCTTCACAATATACTATTGAAATTTATGATACATGTGTAACTTTATATGCTATGTCTACATACTATTAATATCTATGATCTAGAGCTGTCATATGTATCATGCATATAGCTATGGCATAGCCTTCACCACCCATATCATATATATGATATATTGTCTCAGAAGATCATTGTGAGATATTAACACATGTAAAATTTATAGCTCGATGCCTGGAATAGAGTAGTACGCAATAGTGTTAGCTATTATTAATGATGCAGAGTTGGCTGTGCTCACTGTAGTAGTCAGCAAAACTCAGGTTATGCTACAGTGCAAACAGCACCCAAATCTCAGTGACTTAACACAAACAAAGTTTATTTCTCACTCAAGCTACATGTCCAGTGTGGGTCAATGGGTGGTTATGCTCTACCCAGTCATGTTGGGGCCCAGGCTGCAGATGGAGGTTCAACTACCTTGTAACTGCATAATATGCAACTCTTGCTATAGCAGGGCAAGAGAGAAGGAGCTAGAAATTTAATTTTTCATGTCACAACCCAATAGCCTGATCCAGCATTTGTGCACTAACAGAAGGATTGGGAAATATGGGAGGGCCCTTGGACATTCGATGAGCAGCAAAAACCACTGCTACAATTCCTGCAGTCAGGTGGTTGCAGCCCATGAAGTCACCTCTCTTGTGTTGGAGAGGGCAGGGTGTTCTAAGATATAATTTAATGACTCTCAGGTGTAGTCATGTGCTCTTTTGATACCCTCGCATACACAGCTAAACACTCAGATACTCCTTAGGAAATCATGTTGATACACAGAAGTCATCACACATCTGACAACATGTATAAGTCTTGGCAATTTTTTCTATTAATTCTAGTTGGTATTCATTTCTGGAGCATTTTCTGTCGACTAAAAATAGAGGCGTGTGTGAACAAGGAAGACATTTGATGGATTATGCTTGCTAACTGAATTCATTTCTTTCTTAACAGCATTCAACAAAACATTGAAGGCTTGCATTTTGAGTTGTATTACAATGAAGCTGCCATCGCTGTTTATTTCTATTTGGAATCAGATAAGCAGGTATGTGTGTCTCCACTTTGCAAACTCTATTGTGAGATTCCATAAGTACCCAAATCTACAAAACAGATTCTAATGGCTTCTTTGATTTCTGAATTTTTAGTGCAAACTCTAGGATATATGAACTAAAGACATGGGTCCAAAGACAGGAAATTTTATTTCTGAAAAAGAAGCAAAAAGCAGATGGGGTCTACCCAGCTACTACACCAGAAAAGAAATTTTGTATTTTTGTTCCTTTCTTAATTATTGCTTAAGCATTTAAGAATCCTTAAATTGAATACAAATCATCTAGCAGATTACTTGTTAAGATTCAGATTCTGATTCACAGGTTTAGGGTAGGCCTAAGGAATCTACACTTGTTTTTCTGTGGTACTAGAGCTTGAACTCAGGGCCTTGCACTTGCTAGGTAGATGCTCTACCACTTGAACCACTCTGCCAGTGGAATCTGCATTTTTAACAAGTTTCCAGATACTGTTGTTGTTGCTGGTCCATAAATCACACTTTGGGTAACAAGGGCTTAGCCTGTTGATAGGCAGAAGAGCTACTCTGTGCAAGCCGAAAGGCAAAGAGTTTTACTATGTGATTATAGACAACTAACAGATAAAGGATCTAGTTTTTTGTTTGTTTGGGTTTTTTTGGTGGTACTGGGGTTTGACTGCCATGCCTCCAGCCCAAGGATGTAGCATTAAGAATATAGATAGGATACCATAAACATCAATGAGAAAGAAAAATGTAAAGAGATAAGAAAGGATATTGCATAACACATAGATAAAAACCCAATGACCAATAAAGTTATAAAAAGATGTTCAACCTTAATGAAAATAAGAGAATTGAAAAAAGTAATAATGAAATAACATCTTAAACTCAGAAGATTGGCATTAAATATGATATAATATAATAATATAAATAACTATGTGCTTTTGAATATTTGAATGGGAAGTATCTTCACAGGAAGATTGCTGGTAAGTTAGTATAGCCACATTAGAGAATAATTTGCCAAAACTAAATAAAATTGAAACGGTAATCTCTGCCCAAAGAAGCATACATGAATATGCTCATCACAGCATTATCCTAGAACAAAGTAGAAAATGCCTGCTATAACACCACTAACAACAGGTGTTGGCAAGGATGCGGGGGAAAAAGGAACGCTTTTACACTGCTAGTGGGAATGCAAACTAGTACAACCACTCTGGAAAAACATTTGGAGGCTTCTTAAAAATCTAAACATTGATCTACCATATGATCCAGCAATACCACTCTTGGGGATATACCCAAAGGAATATGACACAGGTTACTCCAGAGGCACCTGCACACCCATGTTTATTGCAGCACTATTCACAATAGCCAAGTTATAGAAACAGCCAAGATGCCCCACTACTGACGAATGGATTAAGAAAATGTGGTATCTATACACAATGGAATTTTATGCAGCCATGAAGAA